AAGTGCTTTAACTTATGCATTACTAACTTACGAACACTTAACATACACACAAACTAGCCCAAGTATTGGTATTTTAATTTTACTAACAAGGGAAAGAAAATGGATGTAATAACCCTGCTGAAGCACTGATTAGTACAGAAAGCTGGAATATGATTTATTATTTTTACTTTTCAAAAAGCTTATGTATTTGGTACAAGGTCTCACTACACAGCTCAGACTTCTAGTGATCCTCCTGTTTTCAGTCTCCCCAGCTCTGGGATTACGGGCATGCACTACCACACCCAGACTTGGTGTCCAGCTGACCATGCCTGGGGGCGGGGCCAGCTCAGCATGTGGCACTGGGAATCAAACTCTTGTACATGCGCTTGCCTAAGTAGGCGTGTAGTTTGCTGAGCTATCTTGCCAGCCCTATTTTTTACTTTTTATAATTTTCATTTATCAAATTACTATAGTTTTTAAAATTACCATATTTTGTTTGTGGGTTAAAAATGCCTAGAAAAAAATTCCATCCTGTTATTTCCTTGGTTTCCACAGATGTTTTGGTGCAGTTTCTTTTTATAATTAATCTAAGTTATATTTTAAGTCTCTAGGAAGAGAAGACGCGGAGACATACACAGGGAAAGAGTCAGAGGTCTACGTGTTGACAAAGAAAAGGAGGAGAAAATCAGAGGAAGAGGCAGAATTAGTACTGTAACTGCAGTTTTGACTCCACTATGTTAACATTAAGTAGCCGGAAATTAATCCCTTAAAAAAGCATACAGAAGATTATAAACACAAATTTATCCTTCTTTGCTGCCCTGAAGCAGGTCTATTACATAAAACTCAGGCACCCAAACAAACAAAAATGCCCAAGGGACAATTAACATAAATTCCTGCACCTCTTTCTACCTGTTCTAGTCAACTCTCATAGCTCAAAGAATAATTCAAACTTCAAGAGCGCATTTACATAGTGTCATAGCTTATCATAAAGTCTCTTCTTGCATTTAGAAAGTCAAGACATGAATGCTCCATTATAGGATAGCAGGATATGGGTGAAAGAAAGGAACATTATCGAAATAGAAGGGCAGTGGAGGCCCCAGCCTCACTAGCTGTTGCTCTAGACATTTTGTGATCCTCATTCATACTTGACTGGGCTCAGATCTGACTCAGAGGATGCTTCCTGAGCCCTCGAACGTGTTGGGACAGTTTGGGAACCTATTCTTTCTGACCTGGTGTGAGCTCATTGGCATATATCAGCCTTTGGAAGCTCAAATAAATAAAAAATAAAAGAAAAAAGAACAAAAGAAAGATTCAAGGAAAGGAAAATACTGCCTGGAAACCAAAGATAGTTCTTTCTTTTCCTAGTTCTTTCTTCTGTTACACGGCACGTGTCCACACTCTGGGCAAGTTGCAGCATGTGGCAGCTGGCAAGAACTCCACGTGGTCAGTGTCCAGGAATAAGTCTTCTCTTTGTGGCCCCAGAGTCATGAGAGGGCAAGAGCCATGGACAGCACTTCTATTAGGCATACAGCTGGCTATAATGGACCAGGTGGTTCAGAGAGGAAAAAAAAAAAACAGAAAAAGCTACTAATACCAGCAGTGCTAACAATGTGGGGTGTCCTTTGATTACCTTCATGGAAAAGTTAGGCTTTAACCCCTGAGTTAAAAATAAGCATCTCAGTGTGGAGTTATTTAAAGATAAACTGTCCAAGTCACCCCAATTCCTTAGGGCTTCTTGTTTGGATTGAATCCATCATATTCTGATTGGCCATGTACAAGGTACCCAACTGATCAATTCCTTCCTTCCTTACTGTCTTATAAAGGACTTTCCTGCTCCTCTTGGACAATCATCAATGAATGCTCTGGGATTGGGAAGGAAGGATGGACAGGGTGGATGAGACAGCTGATGAAGAAGGTTCCCTCAAAGGACTCTTCACCAGGAGTTTTGGGGTACACTAGCCTCAAACCTCCCAGAGTCTTAAAACATAACAGGTAAGACATGGATTAACTAAAGTAGCAGCAAAATTTCCTTAACCTTCCATTTTCACAAAATCTCTTCAAGGCAGGAGACTACCCACTTCTCCTTGGCTATATGCTCATGTTCTTTACATACAAGCTGTGATAACCAGGCTAAGGAATGAGTCTCTCAGCTTGTTTCTAGTTCCACCCATTGAAGAGTACTGTATCAAAAAATGAAATGGATGCAATGAAAAAGTAGAATTATTTTTTAAAAATCAAAATTATTTTAAAATTTTGTCTCCCTATGCCAGGTGAGACCTAATTTCTCTGTAGGGTGTTCTTGTAGAAAATGTCGACATTTCACACACGCCTTAGAACTTACTTCAGATCATCTTGTGAAGATCATCTGATGAGTTTCAGGCCATATTCTATTAAAGGCAGCATTTACCAATAGCAGAGAACATGGGGGAAATTATCAGGCCAGAAAATAAATTCAGATTGAGTGGATTTAACCATCTGGGGAGTTGGGTCTGTGCTAACATGCAGCAAAACGAAGGCAGGGATAGGAGATATGAGGGCACTCCAGCCATCTCATAGACCGTAAAGGAGAGATGGGGTGGGTGTGTGCAGAGAAGGGACATACTGGCTGAGTGGTGAGATATGATGACTTCTCTTTGTGGCCTCAGAGGCAAAGGAGGGAATATCCAGAACATTTGGGATCAGCCTCCAGATAATGCTTTGATGTTCTCAGTACTGTATAGAACAGCGAATGGTATGAAGCCTAGAACTGAAATAGATTTCTCAGCTAGAAGAAATACATAATCTCCTATGACACAAGTGTCTTCATGGCTCATGGAGCCCATGGGATGCCAGAGGCTCCACTGACCCTGGATCTCAGGGTGCCTTGACCAGATCCCTCCTCCCATGTATAGTGGCTTCTTGCATTCCCCATCCATAGTCTATCTAGAGTTTTGGATGAAGAGAGGGATATGTGAACACAAACTACCCATGACATCTCCCTGTCTTGGCATCACTACCTCCAGTGTTGTTTCTTCCTTCTTTTACTTTCCTCTCTCTTTCACTCTCCCATGCTTTGAGGAGATGACTAATGTTGGCAAGGGAGACTGGACATCTGACTAAAGAATCTTCTAGGAGACCTGTTGTGCTCAAGTTTATCGTGTGTATGTGACAAGATGCAGCTGTAGTTCTTAATGTAAAGAGAATGATGAATGGTGAGATCTAAAGAAGGCCCTTTTTTCAAGGGAAAGAGAAGAGCCATAACCTAAAGGGAAGTCCCGGTTGGCTTCAAAGGAGAAAGCTGGTGTTCACGTTTATACCAAGACGGTAGGAAACCAAAGATGATTAGGATAAGTTTGTGACTTAACAGAAAATCATTTTATTTTCTTAATAGAAAGGTAAATGCAAGCTAAGAGAAAAGAAACCCAATTTCTTAATCAAGGGAAGTTGAATAGAAATAGGTTCATAATTTCATTAACACTAGAAAAACCAGGTGGTCGGGCAGGTGGTCACATCTGTAGCATGTTACAATGCTTTATTCAGGACTCAAGTGTTTGTGTGTTCAAGGAGTTCAGATGTGCAAGGTGGTATACTGGCACAGTAAATTTGGTATTCTGACTATTGGTTGTAGGCCAATTCCATTTTTGGTAATGGTTCTGCCAGCCCACACTTCTCCTATGGTTGAAAGGGCATGAAGTATCACTGCAATTCACTTTCTCCAATTATCATCCCACGGCCTCTCCAGCTCAGCAGTCACCGTGTTGTGGGCCTTTCCCTAAGGAAAGCTCTGTGTCCAAGGTGGAGGAAAGCAACTCTATGCGCACAAAGCAGGCCATAGCAGCACTCTGGCATGAAATCAGACTGAGCAGAAAAATCCTTTAAAACAAGACCAAGCCCAGCATAGTACGTAGCCTTATGTAATGATCATGCCGGTGAGGCTCATTCCTAGCTGCCCTCAAGCACACATGCGCTGTGTGCGAGGGAAAATGGAGATGGAAGAGGGACTGAGAGTAGGAGACCTGTGTCTGCCACTTTGGGCTCCTGTCCTGCGATTACTTTGGTTTGGGGCTGACCATGGGTCATGAAATTCCATCGACATCTAGAAGAGAAGGCAGGCTACAACAAATAGTTCTCCAGCCACATGATTGATTAGGTTTTTCAGAGCTGAGACAGCTACACCATATTTCTATTTCAATAGGGGGATGGGGGATGACAAAAAAAAAACCTAACTTCATAAGAAAAGAGGTCTTTCTAAGAAAAAGAACTGCTCCTACCCCAGAGTTCCAGAGGACTCATAGCTGGAGGAGGATAAAAAGAGCATCTGTCTTCTGAGCTCTCAGTGCAGGGTCCTCAGGTCATCCCCTGCCAAGGAGGTCTTGTTTGGCAGGCTGAGAAAGAAGGGCCTTGTCCAACACCCCTCTGCAGGCCTCCATTCATGTACTGTGATAGTTCTAGGGAGAGGCTGAGGGCCATCTGCACTGCCACCAGACACATATGGAGATACATTCCACAGAATGGAACCATCTACTGTATAGTGAAGCAGCACCGACTGACCAAGAGAGGGCTGGTTCTTAGTGCTGCTTTCCTTGGGGACTTAAGTATGACACAGTGGCCTGAGGCTTCTGTCTTCTGCCCAGCTTTTCCTCTTGGGAGGGGTGAAGCCCAGTCCTGGAGCAGGGAATGTTTAAGGACAAATGAGCCCTGTCAGAGCCTGCTTTGCTAGAAGGAGCAGCCTAGCTTGAGGCTGAGGTATGTTTACTAATCATCTTAAGTGTCCTTATCACCCTGTCCTGTCAGCTGCAGACACTGTGGAACCAAGGCTCCTCCATCATGGGAGGTCCTCAGGCAACTCAGATTCACCCTCCCTGAAGGGTCTCTGTACCAGCCTTTCCCATCTTTATAAAACTTTGTTCGTTGGGGGTTGCCCCTTAAAACGCATGTGCTCACAGAGGAGTGGCAGGAAAGGCTGAGCCTCAGGCTCATGGCCTCGCTGAGCTGAGCTCAACACTAACTTGGCTGCTACATGGGGGACCCACTACCTCCAGCCCAGAGTGTGGCTCATCTTCAGCCAGAATGTGCTAGTACCAACACAGTGCTGCCACCAACACTGAGTTACTTCTGTTCTGGGTGGAAAGTGGATTCTATTTGAGTTCCTCAGATTACCCCTACTCTTGGAGTTGTCCCATGACCAGCATCTAACAGGCCAATGCTGGGAACAACATAGGCTTCCCGCACTGTGACTCTGTGGGTTGGTGCCCTGCTCAGAGGTGTTGGTTGATCTTACCTGAGCCGCAGGCACCTCTGTGGGCCCTGGGGTGTGCCTTTACCCATCCTAGCTACTATAGTACTATGAGGGTGCAGGATCCGGGACTGTACCCACCAGCACCTCCTGTTCTGTTTCTTTGGCTCCCACCTCCATGGCTTGGCTTCTGGACTATGGCTTTTCTCACCAAGACCAGCCCTTGCTGCTGTGGCCACTGCACCTTGACTCCTTCCATTTCAGCCCTTTCCTCCTTCCTTGCCTCCCACTCTTGGTGCCCACCACTTCTGCCTTAGCTTGTACTTCTTTAGGGGCTGCAAGCCACAGAATAACACACGAGATGCTACTGCATTTGCCCTGGTAGCAGTGGTGTTGGCTGATCTTGGGAGAGAGCCGGTGGGGAGGAGATTGCTCTCCAACAGTCAAGTCTCCACTGTTCCCAGGTAAAAGCCAGAATGTCTTCCAGGCTGCTCAAGGCAATGTGTACAGACCCAGGCCAGCCAGATCCCTCCACAGGTTATAGAAAAGTGGCAAGGTGCCAGGGAAGGCAAGCCACCCTTGTGTCCCTTCTCCCACGGGAATAACCCTCCAGATTCTTGTGTTTTCTTTCCCCAGCAAAGAGGCAGAACTATGGCAGTGCCTGTCTTGCAAAGGGAAATAAAGCAATTTGGTGGCTTTGACTGGTTTTCCATATGTCCTTGGCTTCCTCTTCTCTGATAATGCATGGAGTCCTTCCATCCTCCTCCTCCCTCTTCCTCCCCCCCGGGCCGCACTGGCTTCCCAATTCGGTCTTGGTTTCCTCCCTGTGAGAGAAAAGCATGCATCGGAGGGGGTAGCAGCCTCTAGCACTTGTCGTCTTCTTCTGTGTCACTCAGAAGGTCACTGACAGCTCCACACATCATGCCAGGCCCAGGCCCCCCACGCCTCCGTCGCCGATAGTGCCCATTGGGCATCTGCCAGCTGTGCCGCAGGGGTGGGGCTGAGCCGATGGTGTTGGACCGGCCCAGGCTGGTAGCCACCGCCGCTTCGAAGGTGAGCGTCTCCTCCTCGCCACAGTCTGAGGCGTGGGAGTCTTCATGCAGGGCCAGGTAGGGCTCGGAGATATAGCGCTGTGGGGAAGAATGCTGGCCCTGCTGGGGATGAGGGGAGTTGGAAGACTCGGTCAGGCAAGCACTGTTGCTCTCCAGAGCTTGGGAGGTCAGAGGGGATCCACCCTCACTTCCATCAGCTGGTGGAGAGATGCTGCCAGCGTGTCGCAGTAGGGAACTGTAGGAAAGGAGGGGCCGAGGCTTTGGTGGGACAGGTGGGAGCTGCCGACGGCTTCTTCTTGGGGTGCTGGTGTCCGAAACGGAGGGGATGGAGCTCTCACTCAGGGAGCCTGTTCCCTGTACAGCAGCAGAAACATGGAAGGTGAGACTGTTCTTGCATGAGCTCCATGTGGCCTGTTAAGATACCTGACCCCTTCTATAAAGTGCCCTTGGAGTCCTAGAGAGGAAGCCTGAGAGGGAGCCCCATGGACTAGACACATCCCCCTGGGAAACAGGGATCAAAGGAGACTGAGGAGTCACACCATCCAGAGCAGGACACCTCCTCTTTCCACATGCAGATGCACCTCTGTACCTCATGCAGGTCCAGAGGAAGCCCTGAGGTTTTGCATCTCTCATGAGCTACTAGCTGCCGCTTTGGCTACTTGGGACAAATGATTTGGAAGCTCTATGTCCATAATACGTGGGACACTGAAATAAATAAACTTTAGTGAAAGATAAACCTATGAAAGGTGGAGCATCATTAATGATCCAGAGTTGCTCTCTCTAGGAACCTTGGGGAAGGAGGTTCTAAGGGGGTTCTCAGGGAACTGTGATATTCTTCTTTCATCTTATCTTTTGCCTCTCTGTCTTCAGGGGCTTGCAGACCTCAGCCTCTATCCCAACACTTATTTGTTGGATCAGGCCTCATTTGACTTGCTCACCTAGTTGCAAGGGTACCTGAGCCCAGGCACTGATAAGCAGACTCCAAGACAATATTTCTCGGGGTGTATATGACCTGTGAATTACTTCTCAGAACTTTCCAGGTGGGGATACTTTCTAATGCAGATTTCTAGTTCTCATCTTCAACTAGAATCTTTGAGGTTCTGGGAATGTAGTGACAGAAAGCTCTGTAGGAGCTTCTGTTCTGTAGTAATGGCTGGCCTAAATGATGAACTTCTTCACCCCCTACTTCTCTAATACTCTGCCTTAGCAACTCCTGCTTTTCCCAGCTGAACATTTCTTCTGAGTGGTTCTCCCCATCTGAGACAGAACCCTGAGTAGGGCTAGAAGTGAGTGGTAACACTGGGCTGAGGAACACTTTCATAAGATTGGTATTTCTTAGGCATTGGGTGGGGTTTCAGCAAAAGGCTAGGAGACCTGCGTCTAAAGGTGCATGCCTGTAATTCCAGCTACACAGGAGGCTAATGTAGGACAGACATGCTGCTTCTCTTGGGATAGCTGGACAGCAGGTGAACCACGTGGAATTGTTCAGACTGTGAATTACCATCCCCGCTAACACTGAGGATCATAAGAGACAAAGTTTTCTGGCTAAAGGACCATCCTTTCCTATCAACTCTGGGTGGATTTGTACTCCTGGATTCTGTGGACTAGAATGGAATGACTTCAGGACTCAATCACCTTTCTGTGGGGGAAAACATCTGGGTTTCTGTGAGTTTATATCACTTTTGAATTTGTAAGCAGAGAGCAGTTAACCTCTCTGTCCACTGGGTCTATGTTCTTCTGAAATCTGGCTCTTTGAAGATGTTCAAATAAGGATGTGGGATACCCATGCTCTGCCGCCCATGTCCCAATCCTTTCTTTCCTGTCCGACGTAGGAGGTTCAACAACTTCTCCACGCTCACCTGTCTGGTAGGCGTCTGTGATCTGCCTTCACTGGGTGACCTGGACTGATGGCGCTCTGGGGAGTCCCAGTCGGCCTGAGTCCCTCGCTCCTCAGAATTACAACGGGAGACATCAGGAGAAAGAAGATGCTTTCGCTCTTTGGACCGTCCTCGCTCCCTGCCCCCTGAGCGATGGGTGTCTGACTTGTGGCCTGTGAGAGATGATAAAACAACTGTTTATAACTCAGCTACCTCTGGTTGCTGAAGGCAAACTAACCGAGTATGGCACCCCGACTTGGGACTAGGCCCTCTTATGAACTGAATGTGTGTGTGTTCTGCAAAACTCAGTATGGAATCTCAATTCTGACTCAAATGGTGTTAGGAGAGGAGGCCTCTTGGAGATAGTAGGGTGTGAGGGTGGAGCCCTTAGGATGAGATAAAGGTCCAGAGATGAGAGCTGGCTTCACCTCTGCTCTCCATCATGGAAGAATATGCTAAGAAGATGACCATCTACACACAAGGAAGAGAGATTTCAGCAGACAGCAGGTCTTTTGTTCCTAAGAACTTTGATTTCTCAGAAAAATTAAACTTTTGAACAAGAATTTGAATAAAATCATACCAAGATATACAAAAATGAAATTGTCCAAAACATTATAAAGAAAAAAATCATTATGAATATAAGTTCCTTAATTTGGGCACAGAGTGAACTATTATATTGACTTATCTGTAAATTCTTTCTTCTTCATTTTTATTTTGGATGATTTTTGCTATTATATTCATTTAAGTTTGTAAATAATTTATGTACAATGTGCAATCTATTATTAATCCCATGCTATGGATTCATCTCAGAAATATTCCTCTAAAATTCACTCTGTCTACATCTTATAACTTTCACATTTCAATATTTGTCTACAATTTTTAATATGCTATATAATTATTGATCTTCAATAAAGTTAATGAGAAAATTAAATTAATTTTTTTTTAAAAAAAAAGAACTTTGATTTCTCAGCCTCTACAACTGTGACAAATACACGTTTGTTACTTAAACCACCTGGGCTATGGTAATTTTTTATAGGAGCCTGAACTAAGACAGATTCCTAGATTGTTGTGACTTTTCCAAGAATCTTGTCAGCAGATGATCCAGAAGGAAAGTGGGAGAGCAAAGCTAGAAAATCACCCCTTTGTGAGCAGGTGAGTCTGCAAGTTGCCCCTAAAAAGATATGCATGTCAAAGAATGTGATTTGGTCTCTTCCATTTATGTTAGACACAATAAAGTTAGACTCCTTGCCAGGCATGTGGCTCAGACCTCTCTGACCTATGCATGGGTGTGTAGGCTTGGGGAGGAAAGATGACACGAAGCAGAAAGGAAATATGAAAGTTTTGCAGAGAATAATGGCATCCTTAATGTAATTCAGCGGTGAGAATGACAGGACTGAAGTTAAACAATCTTCCAGTTCTGGCTCTATCATTTACTAGTCTTATACTACGGGGCAAAACACTGATCTTTAACTTTGATTCCTCCATCTGGTGAAATAGGTTGAAACAGACTACTGGTTTTCTACCCTTTTTTTAAAAAAAGTTTACATCACTATAACCCTTTTTTGTTATAAAAAAAGCTTAGATGAAACCTGAGTATACCAAGAAAAATACTAATTGGGTTGAAGTGTAGTAAGTTGGTGGCAGGAGCTCAGTACCCCCTCCCAAGGGACCACTAAAAGAAATCTCAATGGTTTTGAAGAAGGCTACCTGAAGACTCTAGTCTATTGATTGTATCAGTTTTATATTCCAGAAGGAAGAAATTATGTCAGTATGTGTGATGAATACAGGTTCCAGACCTTTTATAGGATATTAATCAAATGTAAGAAACCCTTGTGGTAAAAAAGTGTTCTTTGCTCACTTTCTTAAACCCTCCTCTTTATCTAGTTTCTATTAGTCATGATCAGGCTTTGCCCTAATAAGTGCATCATGGTAGGAGCGCACTGCCTAGCCAGTTGCCTGAAGTGAGGTAGACCCTGTAGACCACCTCACCTGAGTCTGAGTTCAGCCTGTGGGCTGACAGCCGCAGGGAAGAGTGGTAACTCCGGCGACGAGACTTGTACGTGTTTTCACTGCTTCGCTCCATGGAGAATTCCTCCAACCACGAGGAATTTGAACGCTTATCCCGAATGGTAGAGAATGAACGTCTCATGGAGCTAGGGTCTGTCACCACCTAGAAATATGAGCCCCAGAGGAGTAAAGGTTGCGGATTAATTATTTCCAAAAGTGCTGAGGTGGGACTAAGACTTCTGAGAACTGCAAAATCGAATGCTGGGAAGTAGTAACCACTTTTGAGATCCTGTGCTCAGACCCTAGCTAGAGAGCCTGATTTAAAAGGGGTCTTCATATTGTGTTAACATAGTCACTGAAACTGGCCTAATGGGTCTTGCTTTAATTTAGTCTTACCTATCCAGCAGAAAAGTATAACCACAAGGTATAAAAAGTAAAGCCATATTAATAAGCTGAGCTGTAAAAGGCTAACTACAACTTCTATCAATTGCCAGCTCTGCTGATAACCCACAACTATTATGGACTATTGGATTATATTGGGATATTTTGCTGAGTTAAATTACCTACAATATCTGAAATGGTGTTAAGTATGAAAAAGTCCTTTTAACACTTCTGTAAATACAGCTTTTCCAACAACAATGGAATACACATCTCTGACAAAACAAAACAGGGGGATATAAATGAAAGACCATTTTGTAGTGAAAAAATATATATGTATATACAAAATGAGATAGATATACAGCTACTTTCTCTTAGTTCACTAAGAAGACAGCTTTGTACTAATATTGCTTAAACAAGATATCATGTTTACATCTTATCCTCTGAATAACTACTACGAAGACAACAATATGCAATGTATTAATTATTGCAACTGTCCTACTAACCTGTTTTGAAACTGCTTCATTGCTATTTTATCTTTTTTCTCATTAAAATTAATTTTAAAAAGAAAAAGAACGCAAAGTCTCTGAGTGTACCAGGGAACAGCCAAACAACGCAGGCAGGCACTATGCAAATGTCCCACAGAGCCATCTACCATAGGGGCTCAGTCAAGACTTGCTGCAAATACTAAGCTACTTGGAAAGATTTGAGGGCAGCTGGCAGAAAGGCTACACTGCGAAAGATACATAGCTTTGTCTTTAATGTCCCCCTCACCTGGGAGGGCCCTGCCCACCAATGCTACAGCCCAGGAGAGCTTGCAATTTAACTACTAAGTCTGCAGTGCTCTCCTTTGCAGTACAATTGATGAATTGTACCCTGCCCCACCGTAAACTCTGGCATTTGGATTTGTCACAGGTGTCAAAACAGATCAACAAAAACTTGTCTCTGTCAGAAGCTGATGTAAGACAGACAGACAAAAAAAAAAAAAAAAGAAGAAGAAGCCAGGAAAACAGACAAAGAAATGAGGCGTGGCCTGCATTGGTTGAGACAGTTCTGACATAGAGCTATGTGTATATATAAGTGCATAAATGCTAGAGGAGCCAGAAAAAGAGAAAAGGACAGGAAAATATGAATAAAAGCCTAGAAAAATATTCTTTCTTGGCTGGTTCAGTCTTGAGAATGCATAATCTAGTGAGAGGGAGTTATGGCATGGTGTTGATTTCACCTACTGAGGTCAAAGAGTCACTGTAAACACACTGTAGGGGAGTTCACTCTATCACAGAAGGCCCACAAGCCAGGGTTGGTTTATGGTGAGAGTCCAAGGCTCACCTGAAAATATTGAGTAACCCACCTACAAAAGCCCAGGATGCCACTGCGTAAGGTAAGTGGTGGTTGCTTTTTACCTGGGGATCCATAGTCAGACGTGGCATAGAGGATGCCCTCCCAGATCCCGCATGCTCCTGGGTATCCGAAGGAAGGTAGATGCCATGGTTAGAGGACTGCACGCTTTTTAATTCACTAACCTCTGGCTCCTGGAAATAAACACACAGCCAAGCTTGTGGAACTCATTGCTTCTCACCTCCAGTGGAGGATTCTGCCTCCTCAAGAATGGCTCTTAAAAGGGGAACTGGCATCTTCAGGGGCTCATGTATATGTGTATATATGTATAGGTTTTTGAGGACATGTGTGGTATACCAGATGTCCCAAAGAGAAAGCACTATCTGGAATTGAAAGGGTACCTTTTGTTATCAAATACCTTTTTTATTATTAAGCAGTGCTTCATATATTACTCCTTTATGAAATAATTATTGTTAGTAATAGCATATTTTAGATGTGAAGTTTACTTTCTGAGATTTAAATATTTGATTATTATTTTTTTTTAACCAGGGATCGAACTTGGGACCTTGCATTTGCCAGGCAAATGCTTATGCTGCTGAGCTATTTCCCTGGCCCTTCTGATTTGTTATCTTAATGTGAGGAAGGCTTTTATCTATTAAATAGGAACCAAGATGATAAAGCAAGTCACGTATTATCTGATACCAAATTTATCTTCTCCAACTTTAAGATGCATGACTTTATTAGATAAGAGTTTTTTTTTAAATTATTGAAATCATCCAAACATGCTGTGGGTGGCCATCTGTCAGGATATTCCTGATTTGCACAGTCCAATAGAAATGTAATATAAACCACTTACATAATTTAAAATTTCTAGTAGCCACAGTTTTCCTAACATACTTTATTTAACCCAAAAAATCTGAATATTATCACAGTAAATACAAAAATTAATAAGATACTTCACATTTTATTTGAAATCATCACATCTCATATGCTAAAAGGCACTACATGTTTACTCTACTGGACAGTGTCCTGTTAGAAGGTTGCATGGTGAACTAAGTTTCCACCAACCTCCTTTGTTACTTTCCTTGTTAAACAATACCAGTTTGGAAGTTGCACAGACTCTACAAAGATAGGTATCCAAAATAAATAATAAACAACAGAGCTGACTCAGAGATTGAGACCTGTGCACCCAACAAAGAAATGAAGAGTATCTTCGGTATCTAGAGATTGTACTAGAAAATAGCTATGCTATATTTTGGAAATAATACCCTAAAAATGATTGCATGAGTAGGCCATTGCCTGAGGGACAGGTCATCTGGGACAACCCATTCAGCCTTCATGACCCTTTAGCTGCGTGGCTCTGAGGTGCATGAGAAGAGAGCCTTCCCAGGATGTGGTGTGTGAGCTTGAAGGAGTTACAGTGCTTGCAGTCAATGCTTTATGTGGCACACAGTTGTGACTCCAAACAGACGAAGTAACAACACTGCAGTCTACAAGTGTCGAAGGTGGCGTGAGACACACATTCCATATGCACATACACAAATCATGGCCACGCCTCGGGATGTGGAGCAGGGACCCTAAGGGACCTGGAGAGGTACACAATGGTGAGTACGTAGCACAGCTGAGACCTGAACTAAATTATAGACACCAGCACTGACAACAAGATGAACACATATCCAAAAAGTCCTGGCATTAGAGCTCAGCCTTGGGGAACCTGCAGAAAAGAGGAGGTAATACAAGGTCTCCTTGGGGAGAAAAAAGAACATATTATAGAGATTTTTTTTTTCTCACCAGACACATCACCAGGCAAACAAGCTGTAAAATTCAGAGAAGCCCTTTTAGGAATGAAACTATCTGTAGCTATTAGTCCCTAGGCATTGGTGCTAAGTTCCTCAGGAGGAAGGCAGGGAATTATTCCAAGAAATCTACCCCACCAAGATCATCCTCAGGCAATTGGTTATGCACCAGCAGTGTCTGGCTTAGCTTTCTCCCCAACAAAATCATACATACTTCTCTGCCTCAGCAATCACAGGAGACACGACTCCCGTTTGAGCTATGAAAGTGTTTTCCCTCTCTAAGAACTACCCTCTTTTAGGTGGTTACTGGGAATCAAACTCAGGACCTTGCACTTGTCAGGCAGGTGCTGCGCCACTGAGCTATCTCTCCAGCCCAGGGATACCCATTCCCTCACACATGGCCTATCAAAGTGGGCCACACACACTTTGTAATAGCCATTTGGGATGCCTCTGGAGTATATAGTAGGAGTGGGAGGGACTGTGAGGGAAAGGAAGGGGACAGAAGAACCACAGATGAATCAAAGTGATATGGAATTCACTTAGTACTAGTTATCTATACAGACTTTTGCATAGGTTGAGTTTTTCTTTCTCAGGTCTAATTAAGTTTGAGCAGAAACTTGAGCTCAGGGCTACTGAAGTATGAATTATGGTGAAGCAGATTAGCTTTAGGAATCACATTTTTAACTCTATTAGCAAAGCCAAAACGTTAATCTTCCCTCATTTTTTCAAGCTTTAACTTGACTTAACAGAATTCTCCAAAATTTTACTGGCTATGCTAATTTAAAAAAAAAACTCATTTTGGGTTCAGATAATGACTTCAGGGCCCTGTTAGAGTGTATGTGACTTTGCAGAAGATGGTCGGAATCTACACAGAGCAAAGCCGGTAGTTTTCTGTTCCTACCAGCAGCCAGTTAGTCACTGCAGCAGATGCTTCCACTGAGTGCTAGAAGAGGCAGGTCACGAAGGGCAGGCTGGAGCCAATCTGTGTCCCTACAAGCGGCAGCTGGTATACTATGCTACACAGTTGATGCTACTCATTCTATGGGATTTATCTTAAAGCATCTTGTCAAAGGAAAGATTTTACATGTGACTTCTGGCCCTACATTTGATGTGCAAGGAAAGAAACGGAAAGGGTGGCCTGAATGGGTATAAGTAAATTGCACAAGGGAAGTGGTTCTTGGTCAGTACAACCTTCAGAATAGACTTTCTCAGAGAACATGAGAAACTGGGCTATGAAAGGGGTGGAGACAGAACATTTCTAGGGTAAGTGGTATACAAGATGTCCTGCCTAATGATGGCTGTGCAGTAAAACTGGAAAATAAGAATGAGCAAAATGAAGAAAGCAAAGAAATATTTGCAAGGCCACATAACCCATTCATTCACCAGAGATTGCTGTTCCTGAAATTGTCCATCATCGGCTGGGTCCATACAAGCCAACTGGAATATTTCCTGAGGGGAGAGTGGACTCATGGAAGGGTATCCACTCCGGCCACTCCTGAAAAGCAATGTCAAATTCAGAGATAATGAGAGTCACCAAGAGAAATAGTCATGCCATAGCTGCCTTCACCCTTCCCATCCCAAACCGGACCTCCACTCAGCAAGGGTAGCACCCTCTACACTCAGCTGGCCTGCTCACTTGCAGGTAGCTGACCTTGAACAGAAGCTCTAAAAGTAAGTGTTGAGAAACTGGGATTTTCACCTTGCATTTTAGGCATTCGCCATTCTGCTGATGACTAGCATATCTGTGGCAAATGACATCATTTTCACCCTTGCCCAGTGGGAAGACCAATGCTAGATTGTAAGCCTATTTCTGTTGAGTTTTCCATTGGACAAGAAAATGCCATAGTATAAGCAACTAACAGCTTATTTAACTACTAAACAGCCTCAGATATGGTTTTAATGTGCCAATATTCCTGGCCAAACAAAATCAACCCAATTCAACTCCATAAGTATTTACTGAAGGGCTACCCTGGGCTAGACATTGGATCTATTGGTTTACAACCTGGGGAATGATTTCAGAGGTGATGCTGAGGAGTTGCAAACCTCTGGGTTGATGAAGAGAGAAATTTAAAATGTTGGAGAAAATTTAAATGTTGCAGAAAATTTAAAATGGTGATGAGGCAATAGGTCCAACATGGAGTCTGCCATATGTTTAGAGGGCTTAAAATAAAAGTATGGAGAGCTGTCACAGTGTAGTATCATTAAACCACTATTTGGTACTTTTAGATACTATTAGATGGTCAGGTCCACTGGACTTAGTAGGAGAAAAAGAGGCCAAGAGTCAGGCTAGAGTCTAGGAAGCAATTATATAACTGGTGACATATCTGGGAGGAGATGTGACACAATCTCTCCCTGTGTCAGCCTACAAAGAGCCATTTCATGGTGGAGTCTACTGAGTATGACTCTGGATCCAATAAAAAAAAAAAAAAAAGGGAGAATGAACAAAGAATGCTGGCTACTTAAAAAATAATCCAGGACCAGTGAGATAGCTCAGTGGACTAAGTGCCTACTTAGGCAAGTGCATGGACCAGGGTTCAATCCCTGGCACCCCATGCCATGCTGGCCCTGGCCCCAGAGGTGCTGAGCCAGTCAATGAGACTGGGCGTGGTAGCACATGCCTGTAATCCCAGCCCTGGGAAGGCTGAAAACGGAGGATCACTATGTGTCCAAGCTGCATAGTGAGACCCTGTACCAAATACATTACAATAATAATAATAATAATAATAATAATCTATAGGTGCAGTCTCATTTAATGTCACAGAGGAAGATGCAAATACCAGTTACCCAATCTGTCTTTTTGCTGCTTATGAGGGCTTTAGTTGAACTGCCACAATTACTAGAGTCATCTGATACTTAAATGAATTTTTTAATGTCAATCTCTCCTTAAAAACTGGGAATAAGATGAGTGTTGCAAATACAGTATAAGAAAGGGGTACCCCCTTTCTCCTACAGAGAATAACTATAGAATCTTTAGTGAGTGGAAAAGACCCATTATGGTTTGAATGTGTTTCCTAAAATGTTCATGTGTTGGAAACCATTCTTAAGGTTACAATGTTAATGGAATTTGAAGGTGAGGCCTTTATGATTTGATAAGGTCCAGGGGGGCATAATGGCAGTGGTGGCTTTATAAGACAGAGGGGTCTGGGCCAGCAAGCCTGCGGTCTCATTCAGCAATGCCCTGTACCAGAAAAGGATCCAGTAAGAAGGCCCTTACCAGGCTCTTGGGCTTCCCAGCCTCCAGAAATGAGAATAAAATCAAATTCTATTTTTTATAAATTATCCTGTCTCATATATTTTGTTACAGCAATGCAAAACAAGCTAATAAGACTATTAGAATCACTGAACAACTTCAAAGAGTTGAAAAAAATTTGAACCCAGAGTGATATCCTACTTTAGAAACCCTGCCAGTCTTTTATTGTCTTTAGGATAAAGTCCAGAATCCAGCACATGGCTATCTCACCATCTGACCCCATCTCACCAGTTCCTCAGGTATCACTTTACCTTTTACTCCAAGAATTTCACATACTTGCCTTTTTTAGTTTGTTAAATATGCAGGCTCTTTCACTGAGGTCAAGAATTCAAAACAGGGTGTTCCCAGGGAACAGGATCCTTCTCTCCAACTCCCCTGCCCTCCATAAGCTCTTTTCATGTAATTTTAAATTTCTTCCCCAAAGTCACCTTCTTCAAAAGTCTCTTATTCCCACAACTGGACAGATTTCTCTCCTATAACCACCCATATCATGGTAATTTATTTTTTTCTACAACTTATCATAACTAATGAAATCACTGAAAATAAGAAATTGCCTTCTTTCCCATAGCTCTGCTGCTTGGTGTCTGGCTTTGCACTAGGTAGGCACAATCTCTGTACTAGGCATGATTCCAGATACGCAGTCCTGAAAAAACCAGCCTGCTGCTCCACCAGCACCACCCCCAAATTCAGGCTATGACATGAGGGTCACCTCTGAGTCTTCCTTCCTTTTCACTCCATGCAGGCAACCAATCATTAGATCCAATTCATATCTCTTGTGCCTGTCTCTTCTCATTTCTATCTTGTTAGTCCAGACCACTGTCATTTATACAATTGCAGTGACATAGTAAACAGTATTCTTGTCCCTAGAATTGCTCCCACAATCCATTAAGTCTAAACAGATTTCATGAATCGATTTTGAAAAGCACAAATCTGATATGTCACTCTGAAACGTAAAACCTCATTGTCCTAAGATAGCATCTAACTGCTTTATCTTGCTTATAGTGCCATTCTGAGTCCCAGCCCATGTAGTCTTCCAACCCATCTCCCAATCTGTCCTGCACAGGTATATCCTACACAGGTATAAGTTCCTACAAATATCCTACACAGATATAAGTTCCTTAAACTTACCAGATTCTGTCACCTTCCTTTCAGAGCTTGCCTGTGAGCCTCACTTGCATGCTATTTTCTTGGAGATCCTCCTTAAACCTAAAACTAGGTGAGTGGCTTCCATTACATGGGGTCACCTTAGCCTACCCTTTCACACTCTAATCCAGGCCACTCTTGCAATTTCTATGTCCAAATCTGCCTCAATGGGCACTGTCTCTAAACATGGTTATTGGTGTCTATAGTCCCCAAGACAGTGCTTAGGCCATGTGGACCTTACTGGTAAAATCAATGAATTAATGAATTGGAAAACATGGAAGAGGAGCTCAAGTAATCCCACAGTGTAAGCTGATTTAGACGGAAAATTCCAACTTGTTTTCTTCTAGTTATCTAGCTTTAGGCAGCTTGTTTAACCTCCTAGTTTCCATTTCTTGATTTGTAAAAATGGTGACATTTTATACTCCAGGGTATATGGCTGCTATAAGAAGAATCAGGTGAGATCAGGTAATGGCATCTCTACAAGTATAACGCTCAGGGAGAAAATCAGTCACTGCTGATTCTTTTCCATTTTGCACTTAGCAGTCGTGGGACCCATTAAGGAGCTTCTGTCTTCAAGCAGAACACTAGAACTACAGGGAAGAGCTAACCAAGAATTCGACGGGTGATTATTCTTCGCAAGAGAACTACCACTAAGATGCTAGAACATGAAAACAAAAGGTGAAAAACCCTTTTTCTACTGCTGTTTCACAGTGATCACTTTTGTAAAGCTGGCTGAAATACTAAACATGCTTAGTTTGCTTTTCTCTTACCCATAACCCTTTTGAGATATTCAACCTCATGAGAAAAATCATTCATCTCAGAGTAGAATTTTATGGGCAATTTCAGGCAATGAGTTCCTGAGTCTGCACACTGGCCTGGGTGGCAGAATGAAGCAAGAGGGCTGTGGAGCCTTGGTTGTACTCACAGGCCTGAAACAGGGTCCTGCTGGAGATAAGGTAGGGCTTTGGCATTAGCAATGATCTCCTGAGGCAGAGAAGAGGGCTCCATACGCTGGAACATGGGTGCATTTTTCTGCAGAAAAAGAGAATTACCATCACTGTGTGGCACCTGCTGTGGAGAAAATAGACCTTACTTGATTCTCAACACAAATAATACCTTGTTTGACCAGCTTAGTCTTTGATCTACTTGGTTTCTATTCCATGTTACTAGAAAGCTCCCGCACCCCTACCACACTTGCTTTAAGAACAATGTACTTCAGGGACCTAGGGCCTGGCCCCTTGGAGGCCATATGGCTCCTTGTGGTCCCCCACCCACAGCACTCCGTCACTGGGTTTCACCTGTTCCTCCAGTTGCTGCCTCTGCTTCTTTACTTTACTCTGTTTGTAGTAGTCCATGATCATCATTGCTGCATAGATTTTGCCCACAGTCAGGTCGGAGGCTAAAAACACAAATGTGGCTTGGTGGTGAACAAGGAGAAGGCAGGTGGAAGGGAGTAGGGACACCTCACAAGCCAGGTTATCTATTTTCAGGAGCAGGTGCATACCCTTGTTCACCCATTCATCCAGTATGCAATGAGACACTGAAGATACAAAATGAATAGGCCCTAAATCTGTCCTTAAGTAGCTTATATCTCCACTCAATGATAGTAACAATACGGACAGTGAGAACACACACTCTACCACTCTAGATGTCTATACCTAAGTAACAATACCTTCTTCCTATATGCATGAGGGTTTGCTACATAGTATTTTGTAAAAGGAAAGAACTATGCACCTAGAGAGTTTTACTTACAATCACAATGACCAATCTCAAGAAACTGTTTTCAATTAATGATTAGAAAGATAAAAAGTAGAGAATTTAGTTCCCTAAGGATGAAGGAGCAATCTTCCTTTATCTCCTTGATTAGCCCAGGGTTTCTAAAAGATGTGGCTTTGGCATGCTGGGTTAGTAACAAGGACACTCAGAAGGAGACCCCACACCTTTGGGCATGGGTACAAGCAGATCCAGCATCTTCTGGGACAGGTGGGGCCAGATGGCTAGGGTCTCCTTTTGTAGCTCCGAGTCTAGCTGCTGCCTATCTGCACCACCTAGAATAAAATACATTATTAATAAATGAATTGGAAGAGAGGCAAAAATAACAGAGACTGAGGGAGCAGCCAGGGGCAGGAGCTGAATCAGCATGGCACCCCATAGTCTGAGAGGAAATTCTGGCACTTAGTGACAGTGGATCTTTCAATACTAGGTCTTCCTGCTGAGAAAGCACAACACACTTGGGCTCACATTTTCAGCAACTACGGCATATTCTGCCACAGATCTGGGGCCCTGCAACCAAGATCAACTTCCTCATTGATTCTAAAAGCTTCTGTGGTGCCCAAGGAAAAATAAAAATTGCCACAAGTAAGCCTTCCCTGCCTCATGACAGTACACATATTGTCCTTTCTGCCACCTTAACTCCACAGTCTGAGTAACCTAACTTTAAAAAGGATTTCAATCAGGAAAGAGAGGCAGGCTGAAGGTCTGTTTAGAAGGGCTGAATTTATGTCCTATATTACTGAATTACCAATCAAGATGAGCAAAAGTATTCCCAGGTTTCCCTATGATGCGTCTGCTGAAAAAGGGCATCTAAGATTTTAGAGAAAAGATGCCATATAGGAAAAATATGAGAATGTTAAATAAATATCCAATTAACAATTATTCTAATATTCCTGCTATATACCACACATGGACTCATCCACTGTTAAAACTGGAAGGAGACTCAGAGATGATCTAAATATTTTTGTTTTGTTTTGTTTTAAAATTTAGTACAGGGTCTCACTACACAGATCAGACTTGTAGTGATCCTCCTGATTTCAGCCTCGCAAGTGCTGGGATTACAGATACACACCACCATGCCCAGTCTAAGGTATTTCTTTATCCACAGGAAAGTGGCAAATACTAAGCCTGAGAGGTTATACCAGGACCCTGACACTTGGTTTCCAGGGTACTGCGTCATCACTTCCTTCGCTGGCTGCATGATGATCCAAACAGCTCTGTCCTCTACCATCCTGCACAGGTTGTTCCATAAAGCCTCCCTTTACCTTGCCCTTTCCCCTTCCTGAGCTGACCTTTGGCAATTTTAATGTCCAGAGCTGTCCGGATCAGAGCCATAAGTGTGGAGGTGAAGTGGACGGTCATGTCCTCAGCTACTGGCATGTTCATCAGGACCAACCTCTGTGTGAAAGAGAAAAAGGAAACGGCAGGCAAAAAAAAAAAAAAAAAAGAGAGAGAGAGAGAGAGAGAGAGAGAGAGAGAGAGAGAGAAGAAAGAAAAGAAACAAACATTGAAAGATACCTTGGTGAGAAGGGAAGAAAAGTTCAGAGGTCAAATGCACAGACAAAAAAGAAGGGCAAGGATTCCCCATCCCCTGTCCCAGTCCTATCCCCTGCTTCTCACTAAAGGCTTATTTGCTGCTATTTTTTCTGGGGAATGATGCCAAATTCCAAGAGAAGAGGGTTCCCTAATCATTCTTCAGAACTCCCTCTTGAGGAGTTCCAAGAACGTCTCTGATAGGAATAGGAAGTAATTGCTAAAAGAAGTGGCTCAGGGAAAGGAGTCAGCTCTAGGAGGTGGCTTCATTCCCTGCTTCAAGGCTGCATATTTTAACTGGTCCCATGAACATCCCAAACTTGAAGGAAAAACAGTATAGGGTGGGGATTTTGCTTTATCTGACTTGAATGATGCATCCTAGTGCCCCCTTTTTGAGTCTTTCAAAGATGAAATTTGCCAGCACATGATTGACATGCATAAGTCCAACTTATCCAAAGGATGAGGTGGAACAGGATGGACAGGGAGAGAGTGCAAACAGGCTCTAGGAGAAGGAGGAGGAGGACAAAGGGATTGGGGAAGAGAGAGCAAGAAAAGGGGGCACAGGCAGGAGCAGAGTGGGCAGGCCCTGTTCCCTTCAGCCAGAGGAAGGGATCCAACTGAAATGGCCAAATCCACTTTCCAGAGAGTATCTTGTTTTTTAAATTCTTTACCTTTCTTCTGACCCCTTCTCCAGTTCTCCCACCCAGCTTTGTCCCAGAATTGCACATAATTCAGGGTCATATTCTACCACCTGGTGCTTTTGGATGTGGCCATCATGAGTAGAAAGGATACGAGCCCCTAAGCTGTGCATGAGAAGCCATACACTTGGGTGGGATGAGAGTCCCTAAGTGGCCACGGTCCAGGGAAATGCTCTCTGGAGCAATACAACTTGGAGGAAGCAGGGGAATGGCCTCTGGCAGAACCACCAGCCTAGCAGGGAGGAAGTATGGTCTCTTTTGCAAAGCAAGATCTCAGATATTCAGCTAGAACATGTTGCTTAGAGTGATTCCATGAACGCAATATCTTAGGGTGTAAGGGCAATTTCTTGGTATGTAAGTTCCATCTCTCCCACTTTCTAAACTCCCAAAGAAGTGGCAATATCTGAGTCAAATGGGGCCTCTAATCCAAGTTTTTTGTGCAGTCTCCACACTGATTTCCACAGTGGTTGTACCAGTCTACAATCCCAATGAACAGTGGAGAAGGTCTCCTTTTTCCTCACAGCCCCACCAGCAATTTGTCATTGGTTGACTTTTTGATGATAACCATTCTTTCTGAGGTGAGATGGAATCTCAGTGTTGTTTTAATTTGCATTTCTCAAATGACCAGTGATGTTGAACATTTTTTCACGTATTTATTTGTTATCTATATTTCTTCATCTAAGAAATGTGTTCATCTCAGATGCCCAGTTTTGGTTTTTTGTCTGTTTTTTTTTTTAACTTTTTTGTTTTTTAATGTATTTAGTACAGGGTCTACAGGGTCTCACTACACAGATAGTACTCATAGTTTTCAGCATCCCAAGTGCTGGGATTACAGGTGTGTGCCACCACACCCAGTCTCAATCACTGTCCCAGCTTGCCCCAGGGGCAGGGCCAGCATCTCATGCCGGAGATCAAACCCTGGCCCCTGTGCTCTGCCTAAGCAGGCACTTTAGTCCAGCAGCTATCATGTTTTTTTTTTTTTTGTTTTTATTTTTGTTTTTTTTTATGTATTTAGTACAGGGTAAATAGGATCTCACTATATAGACTGGACTCCTAGTAATCCTCCTATTTTCAGCCACCCAAGTGCTGGAAATACAGGCGTGTGCCACCACACCAAATCTCAATCCCAATCTCAGCACACCCTGGCAGTGGGGCTGGCATGGCCCCCTGGGGATTGAACCCTGGTCCTGTGTCTGCTGAAGCAGGCACTTTAGTCCACTGAGCTATATGGCTGGCCCTTAACACCCACTTTTGGATTGGGTATTTGAATTTGGGGGACCTGAGTTTTAAAAATTCTTTATATGTTGTAAATAGAAGTCCTTTGAGGGACAGTTGCCTAAAAGTTTTTCCCAATTCATGGATTTTCCTTTCACTCTGTTAGTAAATATATACTACTAGATGATTATAAACGCTGCTGCTTTTTTTTTTTTTTATACCAGCAATTGAACTCAGTACCCTGCACTTGCCAGGTAGGCGCTTATGCCACTGAGCCACATTCCTGGCCCTAATTTCTCTATAGAAATATTACATACCTTATTTGGAAGAGTATTTAATAAATGTACTGCCTTCTTTAAAAAAAAAAAGAAGAGGCAGCACTACTATGCTGTGTTCCTACGGGAATGAATGTGCTCTGGAGTTTTAACAGCAGACCGGGGAATTCTCAGTGACTACTGGTAGTGCACAAAGAAAAGTTTGGGCCTTAAATCCACGAGCAACTGAATAGCAGGTGACTCCCAATGAGCACTCTGCTGTGAGCAAGCCACGGGAAGCCACCCACAGCTGTGTCACTCTCCAAGGGACATGTAGTGCTGAAGGCCATGTATGTCAGTGGGCACCCTTTCCTGCAAGAGTATTTCCTAGAGAATCAGACATCCAGGCGAGTGTGGAGAGGTGCTGCACTCCTCAGATCATTGTGAAATTCAGGACATGTTCCTCTCTTGTCCTTGCTCCTTTTTGATGCTATGGGGAAAGAAATTTGTTCGGAGTTTTCTTCTCTGCTAAAAACTTCTTCTGGAACCACACATAAAGGAATTTGTGCATTATCGCCCTGATTTATCTGAGTGAAAGTGTTTCCTTTAAAATAATCCCCAACAGCTGTTTTGGTGTAGCCCTCCTTCTTCCCCACATACCCTAAAGCCGTGGCCACCACTCTGCCTCCTCTAGAGGGAAACACACCACTAAAGTGCCTTTCCAATAATCCACTCACAAGAAGCCACACGCTTACGAAACACAGAGTGACACATGAAAGCCCCGCGGTGAAGAGTTCTGCAAACCATCCCTGTGACCTGTAGTGACTCGTGTGAACCGTTCTGGCCCTCCAGCCTCACCATCTCCTTCTCTTTCCTTCCCACCTCCACCGCCCCAGCATGGCTTCCTCCCATGATCCCATTTGCTGTTGGTCTCTAGCCCAGAACAAAGGAAGGGGTGGTCTACCTTATATGCCACTTTGGAGGGACATCTCTTGCCGAGGCCTAGCGGTGGTGACATGAGAGTCAGCATTTCATACATCTCAGTGTAATGGATGCGGCCACTGCTCATGGGGGAGTGGTAAGTCAGGATGGGGGCGGGACAGGAGGGGTGGCAGGGAAAGGAGAAGGAAGTTGGGGGAAGGATGCAGACAGGTAGGAAAGGAAAACAGGCATTCCCAGAGAGCCAAACAAAATAAATAATACAGAAAACAGGAGAAGAAAAACAAAACAAAATGGACAAACAGGAAAAGAATAGGAAACCTGTTAATCAAGGCAAATCATACATGTGACTCCATCCTGGTATGGATTTATATCACGCCCCACACAGACCCGGGAACACTGGTTGCAACCTTTGGTCCCTCTGACACCGGCAGAAGGTGCTGATGGGGGGCTCCATGTCTCCTTCTTGGTTAGCTTTATCCTTGCTTTCCTGCTTCCTTCATCTGCCCCCAGTATAGAATAAGCTTATTTTCAATTCCCAGGGCTGTGCGTGAGCGGTATAAACCAGATAGACGGTGCTCCAGCCGTGGGTAAGAATTTCTGGTCCCGGCTGGGACTGGGACACTGGCCTGGAAGTCAGACCTCACTCCTCCCCTAAACCCACAGGTAGAACACCGTGTATCCCCCCTCTGGTGTGTGTGTAGCAGAAGGCGGCGGTAGCTGGCTTCAAAAGTGGTGGGCTGAGGTTGCTTGTCAGAGAGTCGGCCCGTTGCTTCCACCTGGCTCTGTGGACAACAGTGTTCTTTATTCCCCAGCATGCACCAAGTCGATGGCATGCTGGGGACAGAAGAAACTAAACCAGGAGGAGGAAGAGCATCTTGCATGCCATGCTACCCTCCCCAGCTCTCCCGCATGCGGCTGCAGGTTTCACCAGGCTGGAGTTTAAAGAGTCTCAGCAGAGGCAGCTGTTGAGCCTCCTGAGTATGGATCACTGTATAACCACCCACGGCAGCTCTCTCCATTGCCCAGGCAGGTTCCTTCCTGTGCCTGTCTTCTTCCAGCAACCTGGGCAGTGCTATGCCACAAGGAGCCCATCCTTCCTTCCTGTGGCCCCACGTAAGGGCTCCTTGTCTAGCAGGCACAATCTCGGACGGGGACTTGGTAGAGCCATTCAATAGAGAAGGTTCCCACTATGTGGTAGAGTTGGCAAAGGAATTCCTTTGTGGCCCTGAACAATGTCCTTGGTCTAACCAACAAAATGATGAGTTCCTCCTCTCAAGCATAATGGCAAGACTCTAAGGCAACGAATCTGCTTGGCAGCCTTTTGACCTCTACTGATACCATCCTAGACTCTGAGACCTTGCACTTTCCCCAGCACAACTCCAGAACTGTGCCTCCTTTACTTCCTCTCACCTGTTACCCTACCATTTCACCTCTTTTTTGTCCTAAACCTCTTCTAGTCCCTTCTGGCCAAGACACCAGGGCCTGGGAGGCTGGGCAGAGGAGATCACCAGAATCACTCTGCTTCATCATATACGGGATGATGATGTCAGTAGCTAACTGAGAGCTTCCCCTTCTCCAGTGATGGGAAAGCAGAACCTTGCTAGATTAAAAAAATGACTGTACTCTCTGGAGGAGGGAGAAAACCCTGTGATTGAGTGCACAGACCCAGGTAGACTAGATTGTGTGTGTGCATGTGTGTACATGCATATATCCAGTGTGTACATGTGAAGAAAAGTGAAAGAGATCAACTCGATTTTTATATTATGTCTTTAACTCTGTTCTGCCTTCCTGACAAAACACTCCCTGTTTCCTGGTAACAGCTGCTGGTTCTGGGAGGGTTTGGACCTCTTTAAACTCAAAGGGAAGCAACATGAAGGTGCCTTCATGTGCACAGTGGTGGTGGAGCAGAGGACAGAGAGGAGGGGTTGATGCTGCATCCCACTGAGGGCGTGACTGGGGGCTGGGAGGCAAACCTTGCAAGCCACCCTGTAGGGGCAGTTCTCTCCCAGGCCCAGAGGAGGCGAGATCACCCGCACTAATTTGTACATATCCTTATACGGGATCCTGCCGCTGTAAAGGAAGCAGAGGTGGGTTAATAGGATAATCAGACAAGGATGGGGAGGAAATGAGAGCTATTCCCTAAAGGGGTTGGCTGGGAGAAGGAAGAGCAGCTTCTTCCTTTGGGCCTAGCAAAGCCAGACCAGAAAACAGCAAGTACTAGAGAATGATCATCTTACTAATCCGCATGGTCCCAACTTTTTCCAGAAGTGAGAGTCCATCCACCTAGCTGACCCACACCTAGCTAGAAGTAGCTGTATCTCCAGGTTTACCTAGGCTGCTAAGAACAAAGATGACCAGCATGCCTGTGACCACTGGCCAGCGCTATACTGGCCGGCCACGGAGAGGACAATGGAACTATTTGCTCTTCACAGACACTGATTAGTCAGCTACTCAGACTGCCTATCAAGGGCAATGGGAAATCAATGTCTTTCTATAGACTGCAAGAGACAAATTTCCTATTAGGTTAATTAGCAAGGAGCACAGCTGGCGCGAGAGAATTAACACAGCCTTGATTCCCTTGGCCACAGATTTTCCTCAGTTCAGCTTCAGCAAGCTGTTTTCCACTCTGGGTCAGCCTGCTTGGGTCCTTGTCCAGATAGCAGACTGGGAAGGACCCAGACACACCCTCCTAGCTCTAGTTCTGCCATCCAGTACTCAAGTGGGACCCTGCCAGAATTCCAGATAAAAATGTGACCAACTCCTTCTCCCATGAGCCTGCTAGATTCCTAGCATCTTGTGGAAGGTGCAGAATTAAATATTGATTAATTTTCAGTGGCCAAAGCATCTTCACTGTCAGGGTTCCAACTAAGGAATCTGCAGGCCTCAAACAGAACATGTTTCCATCGAAAATTGTGAAAAATTGTCTCCTCTCTTCATTTTCTCAATGAGCTCGCTCGGTAAACATCCAGTCCTCACTGACGGTGGCACCAGGACAAGTGCCCTGCCCCATCTCTACTTTTTCTAGACTTCTGATTTGGTTGCTGATTCTTCTTGTTCTTCCAGACAGCAGCTCCTCGCTACTTGCATGGCTCTCAGTTCTGCAAGGCCAGTGACTTATCCTTGTGTTCTTCTTGCTTATTTCTGGTGAGATGAGGAATTAGGGGAGTTATTAGTGGGTATGCAATAACGTTCTCTGCAATCTGTATCGGTCTTTTAGAAGACAATCTTGCTGTACTTGTTAGTCTCCTCCAACCTTTTTTTTTCCCACCGAGAAAGCAAATGAAATTCTAGCCAGCAGTTATACAGTGATTGTCAAAGCAGACAGAAGAGGTTCACCTTTGCCTTTTGCTCCTTTTGCTTAGTTTGTGTGCCCAAGTCTTATGATTTAGTCCTCGTGGTACTATTTCTTCACAGCAGCTGGAATTAGTGAGGTGCAGCAGGTTTACCGTATGTGGAAGTTGGATCCTAAAGCAATGCAAACCCACAAAAAGTCAGCTTTCTAAGAGTCAACGAGAGCTGAGTGAGGCTAGGTGAACAATGACTGCCGTGACTCACAGGTCGCTTCTCTGAGGTGTGTCACTAGGCTGCCAATCCCATAGCCATCCATGCTTTACAGATGCTGATTTGCCTTCTTTCCAAGTTGCATTCTCACGTGGTTACCATCAGTGGCCATATTAATAGCATGCGTGTTGTAACAGCATCTGCAGGATCATCCTTTAAGGCAGGAGAATATCATCATCACAGCTCCCCAGATGAGGAGGCTCTGACACATGACTCAGTCAAGGTCATATAACTGATAAAATGCGAGCCTGGCTGCCTTCTCTCAGGACACATTGGCTGCTGTTTCCTAAATCAGCTACCTATGAAAAAGTGAGTCCAGGAAGGAAAAGGCTATTGCTTAGCCATTGTAACAGGAATGGATTTAGATAACTCTGAGCTCTCAGTCATAAATAATTACAGAGAGGTAGAGGAATTCTGGTTCACCCTTCCAGCCCAAAACTAGATTGCCTCACTGGAGGATAGATTTTGGGAAGCATCTCACATTATAGGGGGTTCCAGGTGGAAGCAACGTGGTCCATTCCTGTGAAGGATGAGATTTCTTATAGTATTTTCAGAGGGGAACCAGCATGAAAAGAATGGTGAGTTAGGACCCCCAAACTAAGATGGGTCAGAATTGTTTTTCTGGAGGAATCATTCATACAACTCTCACTCTGTTCTCAGCCATAAGGACCAAAACTCTGCCTTTGTTTTGAATCAGGGGTCATCAAACTCTTTTAACAGTATAACCTTTGATGACAAAATATTTTCAATAGTATTTTTGATTTTAAGGATTTGAACCATCTTGGTTACAACTACTCAGCTCTCCCTTGAAGTGTGAAAGAGCCACATACAATACATAACTGAATGTCATAGCCATATTCTAATAAAGCTTCATTTGCAAAACCAGACACTGGGTCAAATTTAGCTCATAGTTAATGGTTTGCTAACCCCTGCTCTAAACACCAGAAGGCACATCACTTCAGACCTTCTAGATGTACAGGAGACAGGAAAGACACAATCCCTCCCAATTCCTGCTATTTAATTCAGTTCCACATAAAAAAAAATCTGCAAGTGTTTAGAGGAAGAGTTGTAAGAACATTTTGCTTGGTTTTTAAAATACAATCTCAAGTTATATCCAAACTGTGTCTGTTAAGACAGATGAAGAAGATGAAACACTAAGATTATTGATCATGGTGGCCAGGTGTCAACGAGCCCAGAAAACGCTTATTAAACCCTGGAGACTTAAGGGAACCCACTAACATTGGAAGGAAAATAAGAGATTATTGGAAGCTACTCTGGGAGTGAACCCAAGTAACCCAAGGTGAAGATCATGATGGAATGATAAAGAAAGGGTAAAACCTGTCACAGAAGGCAAGAGAGGGTGAGGGAAGCAAAAGAAGTAGGATTTTAATGACTGCATTGTTATCCGAGATTATCCCACAGGCATAACCAGAAGATGTTATGCATCCTTCTGTAACAGGCAAGCACCTGGGTGGTTCCAATTCCACTCTCTCCCCCAAGAACTCCAGAGGCATTTGATCTCTGGGTGTCCAAAAGGCTTACACACCATGCTGCTCTGTCGTATTCTGCCCAGACACGGACAAATTCATCCAAGTGGTGCGGCCCCAAGATGGAGGAATCCCGAGTCAGGTACTCAAAGTTGTCCATGATGACAGCCACAAACAGGTTGAGCATCTAAAGGACAGAGAGGAAAAGAGGAGTTGGGGGTGGTGAGAAGCCTAAAGCTCAGGGAGCAGGAGCAGAGGCATCAAATAAAAGATTTCAAAAGTCCATAAGGCTGAAGTTCCTAGCTGCGCACTGCTGATCTGAACTGTACATTTCAGCATGTGAGCACTGCGATTTCATTTCGATGCCATCCGTATGTGCAAAGCCCCCCACATGCATTACTTGTTCAATTTATTTCATTGCCTTTGTGGTAGCAGACAGAGCAGCAACAGCTTTAGCATTCTCAAAGTCTAGAGAAAATCAAGGGCAGCTAGCAAGATCCCTCTACGGCTTCTTTCCCTCACCTTTGCTCCACAAGAGCGACCTAAAGGAGAGCTCGTGAGTAACACAGAGTGAGGGGACAGCTGACTGGTGAGGACTGAGGCTGTTTACAGATCTGCAGGGGCTTTGAGACCCTGTCTCCCTTGTGTTTTTTCATCTGACCTTTACTGCACATTTACTCTGTCCCAAACAGACTCCAGTGCTAGGATGTGAGATAAGAGAGAGCTTGTCCGGAGTTAGGCCCCCACCCCCATGCCCAGTTCAGCGCTTAAGGCACAGAAGGCCTTTACTGCATATAGCCTCTTGGGTCTTCTTAATAGCTCATGCAGTATGCAGAAGAGATTGTGATGCATTTAAAGCATAACAATGGTACAAAATCTGAAGAAAAGCTATAGAAGAAGGTTGATTTTTGAGCTGAGTCCTGATGGACAAGGTCCTACTTACCAGACAGGATAGGTATGACAGAAGGCAGAGGAGACGGCATGCATGACAACACAGCACAGAGTATGCAGGGGCAGGCACGGGGGTGGAGGTGGGGGGCTGTAGGGGACTAGAACAGCCGGGGTCAAAGGTTAGATTTCAGAAGCATCTTCTCAGCCATGCCAGAGTCTAGACCAAGATCAGCAACCTGGTCAGCTAGCAGATATTGTGGACCTCGTGGCTGTACTGTCTCTGCCACAACTATTCAGCTCTGCTGTTGTAGAACCCAGTAGCCACAGACACTGCGCACACAAATGAGCCTGGCTGGGTTCCAAGCAACCTTTATTTACGGATACTGAAATTTCAATTTCATATAATTTCCACATGCCATGAAATATTATTTATCTTTTCCTCCCCCATCACCATTTAAGAATGCAAAAACCATTGTTAGCTCACAGGCCACATGAAAACAATGGCAAATTAGATTTGGCCCTGGGCTGTCATTTGCTGATCTCTGGTCTGGACTATTCTTCAGGCAACAGGAACCACTAAAAGGGTTGAAGCAGAAGAGAGACCAAGGTACATTTTCATTTGGAAATAACCCTTGGTAACAGTGCAGAGGGTGGACAGGAGAATGGGAGGGGAGGACTCTTCCTGGACCAAGCCAGGAGCAAGAGAAGCATAAAGACAGGATTAGAGAGCTAGTGAGGTTATGCTGGATAGGACTTCACGTGCAGGACTGTGACTTTCTTTAACAGGCACCCAGCACACACTGGCTATCTTTCTGGTGCAGGTTTTTGTCTGTTTGCAGTTAGTGTGGCTCCACGGGACACCATCCTATGACCCAGGCCCCAGAAAGTCATCAGGTCTCATTGTCTTGAATAGTGTTGGTTAGTGACCTGAGCAGAACTAATCAAAGGGTATCAGATGAAAGACTTGCTCTTCCCTGTTGTTCATGAGTGCACGAGGCTATGAGGTATAGAACCACTATGACCCTCAGGGAGTCATGAGGTAGGGGACTAGAAAGCTAAACTGATGTAGAGGAATGTGATGGAGAAGATCAGTAAATAGAGAAAGAAAGCTGATCCCAGATGTCATCTGAGCCCCTGGCTGAAACCTGGCCTGCCCTGAGATGCCTCATTCATATGAGCCTGTAGAATCTCATCTTGTTTTTATACTGGGCTTTCTGTCTTTTGCAGTATAAAGTCTTGCTTCATAGAGACCCACTGGCTGGGGGGATGAAGGAACAGGAGTCTGTTGCAGATCCCAGGTTCAAGGCCTAGATGCCTGGAAGAGCCAGCTGTGAAGGTAAGGACACAACATAAGGAGCAAACCTGTAGGAGGGGAATAGTTGGACTCTTCTCCACATGGAGCATTGGCTACATTCTCCTAGTTAGGGCTCACAGTCCCTTCCTCACCTCCCCTACCCCTTTTTTTCCTTTTCCTCCCTCTGTGGAGAATACAAATGAATTCATTTGTATTCTGGAGGTCTACTTGCCTTTATTACCCTGAAGGTGAGAGCCACACCCTAGCAATGATGCAGGAATGACTAGGGGTCCTAACAAATCTGTGGAGCTACCATAAGCCTGACAACCTTCCCCCAGATTTTGCTGACACGAGAAGAAAATCATCACTCTTCATGGTTAAGATGATGTTATTTGGGGAGCTTTATTGCATGCTGCTGAATCTACTCTGTCACTGCGATGAGAGCCACTGTGAATTTATTTAACCTCTGCCCAGGTTATAACAGATTTTCCAGGTATCCACACATTCCTTTGATGCTTTTTGGGGGGTATCTATTATTAATGTTAACACAAACTATTAACATTGTTATTGCTTCACATTTGTATGGTCTGCAACAGTATGTTACAGTATGTTACACACATTCCCACCTATTATTTGCTTTTCTGCTTCCTCTAAACCTTTGTGAGGCAGGTTTAATTACCATTAGCCCTTCAAAGAAACAAGTGCTTCCAATTCACTTTCATAATTTTAGTCCCGAGCTTGGCATACCATAGTGCATCAATAAATCTCTGCAGAGTGGTTGCTCTAAGTTAAGAAGCTGTGTGACTTGCCCAAGGTCATAAAGCCAGTCTCATGGAAAATAAAGACTTGAGGGCAGATCAGCTCCTCCTGAATACAGCCTCATTAAAAATAACATGAATGTGAATTATGCAGCACCCTTCATCTCAAAGTTCTAAAAGTACCTTTAGAGTCCCTAATTAATTTTACAGTTATATCTTGGTTTCTTTTAAATATTTATTATGAAACATTTAAACTACGTAGGAAAAATTTGAGAGGTCTCCATCCTGTTCTTTCAGCTCTACTCAACCCTTGTAAGTACTGCTGTGCTATAAGTGGGTACCTTGGTTGACTGTTCTTCCATAGTGCCTAGCTCAGGGCCAGCCTTTGAAGAGCTACTCAGTTAAAGTGTGCTGAAGATATGAATGAATAACCTTTAAACACTAATTAGTACCATCATTCTAAGTTTTCTTCCAGTTATTTGCACTGACATTATGCTTTCAGATATGCAAACAGGAGCCTATTTTGTGTTCTTTTTCCACCAAAAAAAATGTTTCACACCCATGAGAAGGAAGTGTACTGAAACACATGTGTTGGCTTACTGTACATACAATATGGTTATCATCAAGTCATTTTCTCTCTCATTTTAAGGAATCTACACAATGAACATATCTTAGCCAAGACCGCAAAGGGAGCTCCCTTAGCCTCCACTAGTTCAGACTCTGCAACATCAACTTACACAACCACACTTGTCATCCTGCAACCACTGCAGAGCTAGACTGGGGGAAGTTTCCATCTCCTTGAGATCACTTTAGAGAGGTAGAAATTTCTACACATGAGACAGTTAACTCAGTCCTGTGGTGCAGAGCTCTGTCACCTACCACTTTTCAGCAACAATACTGTTTTAACTTAAGCTTTCATGGAGCCAGAAGCATTAGCAGTGAACCTGAGCTGAGGGATGTAGCATGGACAGAAATACCACAATGACCCTTTTATTGATCTGGGAGCACCTCACCCATTTATTCTGTTTATCTGAGGTACAAGGTGGAAATGTTTTTTAAGAGCAGAATATATCAGAGGAAAGAAAGTTCCTGTCCAAGAGTGGGACAGGAGGGTGGCCCAAGTGGGTTTTCCCCAGGAAGCTGGCTCTTCCAGGGACTTTTATAGTGTAAAACCATGCAGTGAGAAGAGCAATGGTGTTTATAATCTCATTGGTTGACCATCGTTTTGTCCCACCTCATGCCCACCTAAGAGAATTCCCATGTTCTCCATCACCCAAGGTAGAAATTTTTGGATACTAGCATGACAATTCATGCTTGCTCTAAAAAAAAGAACTAGAAAGGCCTCCTCACTCCTTTATAAGTGGAAATGCTCCATATATATTTACTCAAAGCAATCATATCCTTTCTCACTACCAAGGTGGCCAGCTGTCATCTAAAGCAATGATGCTACCAATCAGGAGGAAACCACACCTATTATACAGTATCATCATTCTTCACTTATTAATCCACTTACTTTGTGTTTTCAGGGAACCTTTTCTCAAACAGATCAAAAATGTCCAAAAGACAGATAAGATGTTCTTATCCCTATCTATAAGACAAAATACCTGAGTATAAAAAAAAAAAAAGGACTTACTCTGAGTCACCAAAAGTCAACATGAAACTCAGTGTTCCCATCACTGAACTGCACTGAACTACTCATATCTTTTCTCACAAAAATTCTTCCCTTGCTCCAGCAAATACTTTTCTTAACCATTGGAAATCATGTACGTAGGGGACTAAAGAGCATCCGGCCTCTGGAGGTTCCCTAAAGGAGGCCTAGAGAGCGCCCTTCTTCCCGTGGGTTGGAGTGTGAGAGGAAAAGGGGATAGGATAGGGCAGGAAAAGAACATGAGTGCACACAAGGAACTTTCTCCTGTCCATTGTCAGGAGGGCTGGTACAGGGCTAGGGTGGCACAGGCCGTATCTGCAGGAAGAGCCTAATGTTGCTTACCAAGAAGGAGCAGAAGAAGATGAAGGAGACGAAATAAACATAGGCCAGGTCAGTGCCACAGCGCTCATTCTCATTCTGCCCAGATGGTGCAGTGGTGTCAGGCTCACAGCCTTTCTCCCCGAGGCATGACAGCATAATCTCCTGCCAGGCCTCACCTGTGGCACTCCTGAATCCAGAAGATACTTTGGTTAGAAGGAGCAGGTCTCTATATCCTATCTTAGCCTCAGATGTCTTTCCCAATGCACAATCCATTCTCTTATCATAGGCCCTACAGGCTTCCTTCATACCAAGCTGACCCTTCTAGTGTTTTCCATGCAGAGATGAAGAATGCCATCGAGGTCTCTCCTGGGTTCTTTCACCCATCCACTGCTTCTTCACCTATCTGGGGAATCTCTTTTGATAGTGGTAGAGAAAGAGGTGGGACTCTAGAACTCCATGTAAACCTAGGTTCCAGCTCTTAAATGGAATTTGGCCTCCAAGAAATTGTCCTCAATCCCTCTTCCAGATTCTAGAGCATGTATTGAAGTTGATGTGTGCAAATTAACAACTGTGTCAAAGTTATTGATTAAACTTTCTTGTATGGGCAGTTAGACAAAAATTACCCTGTTCTCTCTTTCACTGCCTATTCTGATAGAGGCCAAATAAGCAGGACAAAGAAATGGAGATAAGAGTCTGAACAAGTTCCTCTCCCTCCACTACTAGGACTCCAACTAGGATAGTTTCCCATTCAAGTACCTGAAGAGTAGCATGAGGGACCCAAAGAAGCTCCGGAAATTGTTGTGCCGGTTGATGTGACTTTCTTCATCTAATTTGATGTTTCCGAATACCTTGTGGGGAGAAAAACAAGAGAAAGTAGTGGGCATTACTGAACTGTGTGTTGTGTCCAGCACATGGCCATTAGATGCACAGGCAGGGCTAATAGAGCTACATGCATGACTTCCTGATGAGACAACTCAGATCCAGAGAGCTGAACACCATGCTGCTAGCCTGATGAGAAGGACTAATTATCTTCCCCAGTATAGCAAAGGAACTAGTGCTAATAAGGTCCAGGTATAGCTTAGATTGCAAAATCCTTTAATGTCCTTCTGCTTATACATAGATACTCCTACACCTAATTTAGTCTTTTTATTTCCATGGTACCTGTCACTGTGGTACTCAAACATTTTCAAAAACATTATCCCCTAACAGGGATGCAGGGAAAGACTCCCCCTTCTCTTCCTGTCTCTGGTGGCCATGATGGGAATAATCTGTATTTGTTGAAGATGTCATTTATAGTTTGGGCAGGTGCTGCCCTACAATTTGCAAGCAATTTAGATCAGATTGGATAGAGCATCCCTTCCTTCATTATATATCTTTCTATGCAGAATCTCAACCTCAGAATGTTGACTTGTCAGTAATCTCATGAAAATGAACATCCACAGGTCTTTGTGCACACATGCGTCCATCCAAAAGTGACCCAAATCTCATCTAAAAGTGGCCAGGCATGTGGAAGCTAAAGCAAAGCCCATGCCACAGGACAGAGAAAGTCAGGATAAGTGGATATTTGGAAGAAAAGCCAGAAAATGGGCATATCTAGTTACACAGAAAGGTTTACTAGGCTGCTATTGATTGTAGCTATCATGGAAATCCATGTGAAAAAGAACACTCAAGGGAACTTTACCTATAGTAAATACAGATGAACTTTCAAAGATAACTTTCAAGTAAAAATGTGTTTTTGAGAAGGTGTTATTTAACATTTCTTTTTATTTCTTTTTAAATGTAGCCTGGAGTCAAGATTGCCTCTTGGCTCCCTCCATGAGAAGAGCACTTTCACATACATACTGTCTTCCCCCACCCATGTTTCTGACAGCAGGATCTATTCTCACAAGCTAGTATTGATAAAACTGAGGGTTTCTTCAGTCACTTTAGCAGTCATTTGAGGTAATTTTCAGCCTACACTTAGCATTCTCAGTTTATCCAAAATATGCTAAATGGACCACATTTTCCCCCTAACAGTTTTGAGAATGTGCAATTGAGGAACTATCTCTCCCCCCAGCTATTTTGCTCAAGTAACCCCCACTGACACCTGCTTTGGGAATTTGTTCTCAACACTGTTTTTCAAAACCCAAATACTATTTGTCTCTCAGGGAGAATGGAGATGGCAGAATGGAAAGAGGATAAAAAGGTAGAAGATCCCCAAAAAACAAATACAATAATTTCATTCCAAATATCCCACCCAAGCAATAAACTTCAGTTTTGGGTACTCCATTAGACATCATATACTCTTGTCTTGTTCAGATCTCATTCTCTTCTTTCCTTTCACTCTTGGCTAAGAATTCATGCCTTGTCCCTAATCTATCACTTAATACATGAGGTACAGAACATTTTCTCCCTAGGACACTCATAGAACCATCATTAGTGGTCCTGATTATGATTTTTCTGAAACACCCTACTCAATCACAAACTAGACAAAGGGTATGTTGTGATTTTTTGATATGGTATATGTGCAGTAGTCAAAGAAACCACAGCTATTTTTATTATTTCTTAAGGTAACTTTCAAGTAAAAAATTTATGTTTATTGAGAAGGTGGGCTTTAAAATTTCTTTTTACTTCTTTTCAGCTTTTCAGTTTTTGTAACTAAGCCAAATCTGCTATGCCAAAAGGGTATGAAAGAGACAGGAGGAATATTTCAGAAAAATTCATGAAAATATAAGCTTAACTCCATTTTCACTTGGAATAATAGAACATTAGAACTAGAAAGGACCTCTGACAGTATCTAACCAACTCCTCCACTGTATTGGTATGCATGTTAAGATCCAGAGGGATCAAGTGACTTCATCAGCTTCACGGGGCTGATCAGTGGCAGAGCTGAGGCTGTAACAACATATTTCTTTCCATATGCAGCAGGTTACTCCTTCCATCTTCAGAGTTTTCTGCAAAGGTCTCTTCTTCTAGGAAGCCCTTGAGCATCTAGAATAAGGTTGGCTTTTCTCATAGATACATTCACTTGTTACTTATGCCTCTCCAAAAGCTTTTGTTCGTAAATTTGTGTAGGTTTTTCCACTTGTCTTGACTATAGGGGACACATTCTCTCTGGTAACAAGCACAAGTTTGTGCATGGTGCCGGGTCTCGTCACGGACCAGGATGGGGATTGTCAACTAATGATAAGTCACAGTGGAATGACATTCATGAAAGTGCCCTTATAGTTTGGAAAGATGTGTAAGGATTATTGAGAAGATGATGATTTCATCACTGAACAGCTCCTACCTTCCATTAAAGGATTAAAGAAGCGCCTGCATTTGTTGGTCTGGTGGTATCATGATCGTACAGAGCTAAGAACATGGATTGTGGAACAGATGGAACCAAGTTCAAATATTAGCTCTTCTGTACAAAATCTGAGAAGTTGAGCATACTTGAGCTACTTACCCATATTAAGCATCACATCACTCCTGAACACATTAGCAGCATTTCTATACTCATGCTTTCTTTATATATTTCCATCTACTGTCTGCCTATCTATGCATCTCTCTATTTATCTGCATATATGCATATATATACGCATTTAGCACTGTTTGGCACATCATCAAGGAAGTCAAGTAACAGTAAATAGCATTATCAATGTTATCAGTATTATCAGTAGTAGGTTAGAATTTAGATGTGTTATTCTACTTTATTTTGGTTAAAGATGAAAAGTGGTAAAAACTATTTTGAGCATGGGCAAAATAAATTAATTTAATCAAGTTTACATTTAGCTGTTGAAAAATATTCCAATTCTGATATCAAATTTGGGGGAGTAAAGAGGGACTTAACAGAAGTTATCAAGCCAGACTGAGATTCAACGGGAATTCAGCATTGCATACATTATCATTCATCTGTAACAGAATATATCTGTGAAGGAGAACCCACTGCTTCTTAATCAAGTCCCATAATTTTTTTTTATATGTACTTGGTTGTTACAGGGTCTCAGCATGCAGCTCAGACTCATGGTGATCCTCCTGCTTTCAGTTTCCCCAGCACTGGAATTACAGCAATGCACCACTATGCTCAGACTCTGGCCAACTCAGCCTGCCTTGGGGGGCAGGGCTGGCACCACTTGTGGTGCTGGGGATGGAACCATGGTCTCTGTTCTTGCCTAAGCTTGCCTAAGCAGGTGCTTTAGTCTGCTGAGCTATCTTGCTGGCCGCAAGTCCCACAAATTTTGAGCTTGACATTCCAACATTTTTGGATAAAAAAAACTTTCTAGTAGTGGAGTTAGAGGAAGAGCATAACTAAGAAGTACAGGCAAGAAGAGAGAAGGGTGAAAAGATGGGGCATTTTGGAGATGCTCTGAAAAGGGCTGATGAGACAAAAAGCTTGGAAGATGGAACTGTGACTGCAGGTGGCAGACACCACAGAGAAGGCAGCTGGCAGTCTAAAGGCAGCCTACTGCCTGGCTGCAGAAGACTGTCCGCTTAAGTTCTTTGCTGAGGTTTAGTCTTTAAGCCAGAAAGTGAGCCTTCTATGAGGAGCAGAAAGTCTGTGTGTCCAGTAAGACAGGTTCAAGGGATGGGTGGTACTGTTCATTACAGCAGAAGTTCACCTACAAGTGACCGCTACCCTTGAAAGCACTTGGGCCTCTTCTGGATCCGCAGGCCTCTAGCTACCTAAGTGAATATCCATGGTATGACACTAACCTGAGTCTCAAGTCTAGAATGGGAGAGAATGGAGGACTATGATACATGGGGCTGTGAGGCTGGAGATAGGTGGACTGTGGCCCTGGATCTCTTTAGCATGGGCAGGCTGCAGGAGCTCCAGCTGCTTACTAGGCTCAGCCTTCAGGCATAAATTTCAGGTGGTCAAAACTTAATCTAGATGCATTTGCTATCGCTGCACTCATGAGAACAAGCATCAGATCTTTTAGGTCCAGTCCAAACATCAGTGATCCTGGTAAATGGAGTATACATCCCCTCCAGTCTCCTTGGAGATTTCTCTGAGTAAGAACCATGGTATCTTCTTTGATTTAGTGCTTGTGTTGTGTCCACAGAAGCACAGCTGCTTATAAATCAACACCCTCGTCTGACAATCTCAGATGAAGCTACAGCACCATGCTACCCTGGAAACCTGGTGAACCGCTGCATATATGAAATCATCAAGACTTCAGGAGAGCACCCTTAGGCAAGCATTAGTTCAAAGCACCCTCAATCCTGCGTGCTCAGGTTACTAAGCCAGAGAAAACCTGAGTAACACCTTCCCCCACCAGGCCCAATGTGCCAGCTCACCTGCATCCCAATGATGGCATAAATGAAGAAAAGCATGGCAATCAAAAGGCAGACATAGGGAAGAGCCTAGAAGGAAAGCAGAGGAGATCATTAATCAAAAGGAGTTTGCATCAGTCAACAATCTGTGGTCACGGGCAGGAACTGTTGCCCTTAGGGTACTTAACACAGAAGACAGGGACTGTGCTCTTTGAGGCTGTTGTTTTGAGTGTAGTGCTTTTTTGTATGTCCATGTGCTTTGACAGATATGTAAACAGCTGGATATGGAGAGGCTCATAATTTACTTTCTACGACGAATATTCACTTATCCAGAAATGTATCCTATATCTCCAAGGAAAGATTGGAAAACTTTCTGGGCTCAGGATCTATCTCGCTTGGCATGCAGAACATTAATAATCTGAGCAATTGTGATGCAAATTACATAGCTAAGAATCCAACTTTGGCTTCCAAATCCTTGTATTTCTCTTTCCCACTCCCACACCCAGTGTGAAACCCGTCATGGAGAATCTGGAAGCAAAGTGAAATGACTGGGGTCTCACTAGTTTGTCTATTCCTAGAAGGTTCTTTCATCTTCCAATGAAACATGTTTCAGTGCTTAAGCCACTCTCCCTGCAATGTTTCATTATGTTGCATGGAAAAGTCTCAAAAGCCTTTTAAAGTGTAAGCCACAACGACACTTTGCCATGAAGCCATGTAGCACAAAATCCCACAATGTGCGTATATGCTTACTGCCACTTTGGGATGACAGCATTTCAATATGGGATGGGGACAAGTGAAAGAGATAAAAGGCAGGGAACTGCCCTGGTTGGCTGGAGGAGGGTGCCGGCAGGCATAAGGATACGTGGATTTTTAGCTTACTACAGACCACTGTACTTCTGAAGTGATCTCGGTAAGCGCTCTGGCAGACAGTACTATCATAAATCTGCACTCTGTCACGAGTGTGTACATCATATGTCTCCAGAGACCAAATGAAGGCTTTCAGACTGCTTGAGCAGGGCAGGGCTTATCAACAGAGGTAATGAAATGAAAAGCCCTGTGAGACTATTTACAACTTGAGTGAAGCATAAAATTAAAAATGCAACTGAAAGCTGGTGGGAGAATCCCTCTTCCAATAAAATGCTGACTTTCAAAATCTAAGGAAAGGAACGGGTGTTTTCACAGGGGGAGCTTTGGTGGGGAAGCCTGGCAGGAAGGAGGCAGGACTCCTCACCACCTGGAGCGCTGCTACCTTCCACCCTTCCCTCCTGTCCTTGGTCTGCCTTCTCCACTTCAAAGTCTCCAGTCTCTGTTCATCTTTTCCAACCCCCAGGTTTCATGAGAATACCAAAGATTCCATCTGTTCTCCTTTCTTGTCACACCATGAATTCTAATGAAAAGTGAGGGAAGAGGGAAGTTCCAAGCAGCAGGGCTCAGAGGGGAAGACTGGGTGGTGTTCAGGATGGGGGAGGGGAGGTACAGGCAGTAGTAGCACAGAGCTGTTCATATGGTGTTGCTTTCTGCTCAGTATTTGTAAAAGTAGCCTTTGTTAATGTGACTTAAAGAAACTGCTAGACTGCCTCCCAGAACTTTTCTGAAAAGAAAGCACCTCGGTATGATGCAGTGTCCCCTGAGGCAGATTCACTTGTCTTGCTGTTTTCTCTTGTATTCACTGGAATAAACTAATTGCTTGGTTATCAATTTCCAACAGCTCCTCCTTTAATCTCAATGGCATATAGCTTCACAGAGATTTAGTGATTGTGATAAAAATGACAAGATAAGACATTTCTTAAGAGACTTACCACTGAGACTTACTGGGTAGTCCTCTTAAAATTAAAAAAAAAAAAATTTGAAAAGCTTTAAAAGCATCTTGTCTTACAATACACAATGTAACAATCATTGGTGAATTCAGATGACCTTGTTTTTTGAACTTCTGTATCATTTCTAGTGTCTGATTAAACTATTGTTTACTTTATTATTTTTTTTTTTAATGCAGGGTTTCACTATGCAGCTTAGATTCATAGTGATCCTCCTGTTTTCTGCCTCCCCAGTCCTGGGACTGTAGGCATGTGTCACCATGCCTGAATTCTATCGCGGGCTCAGCACACCTGAGAGCAGGGCCGGCGTACCATGTGGTGCCAGGGATCAAACCCTGACCCCTGCACTTGCCTAAGCAAGTGCTTAGACTGCTAAACTATCTTGCCAGCCCTATTTTTTTTAATCTTTTAAATTAAAAAAAAAAAAAAAAAAAAAAACTTTTTCACACAAAAAAGAGCTTCTTGTCTTTCCCATTCTCAATTCACCCATAAGACTCAGATGGTAACTTCTTGCTACGGTTTTAGTTTTTTACTCTGTCCTCTAACTTTGGAAAAATAGTTTTCATTGAGGTGAGGACTCTGCGGCAGTTTTGCTGAACAATTATTCTGAATAAGAGGGACAAGTCAAGGTTGAATGTAGGAAGCTGAAATTCTTACATTGGTCTCACATCTCAAACTCTGAGGTATGTGATGAAGAACTCATTCATGGTGATGTCAGGTGAACTCTCTTTCCAAATTATAATGACCCATGTACTCACTAGATTGGCCCCTTCAGTTTAATTTCTAATTCAAGTCTATAAATAATTAAAATAAAAAGGTGAATTCATGATTTCTCATCTTTGGATCATTTATTGTCATCAAATTTATTTATTTATTTTGTATTTTTTAGGGAAGGGTCTACAGGGTGTTCAGGGTCTCACTACTAAATCGGACTGGTAGAGATCTGCCTGTTTACAGCCTCCCAAGAGCTGGAATTACAGGCACGCGCCACCACGCCCATTCTCAATTGCCATCTCAGCATGCCCTGGGGGCAGGGCTGGTATGGCAGGCCTGGGGATGGAACACCTGGCCCCTGCGCCTGCTTGCAGGTGCTTTAATCTACTGAGCTATTTGGCCGGCCTTCAAATTTATTTTTAAACACATTCATTGAAAAACATTTTTACAAGAGAGCAAAAAGCATTTTAAAAATACACAGGGATCCAAAATCTTAAAAACTACTAATTTTTGATAATTTCTAGAGCCCCAAAATATTTAAGTATGTTTGAGAAACTCCTTTTATTGGGAATCACTGCCACTGAGCCTCAGATAATTGATTTTAATTTCTATTTATTATATCTACACCTCTGTATGACCCCACGACTATTTAAAAGAAATTTCACTGTATTAGTGTGCCCAGGAATCCCTATCTGTAGGTCACAGAGGTGACCATTAGCATATCACGTGATCTGTGGGTTGGGAAATACACACTGATGAAGACAAGGGCACTGAGAACGAATCATCTTCTCATGAAACACAACTGAAAGAGTTTTCCGAGAAACCGTTGCATGAAATAAAACCACTGGCAAGTCCTTGAAAAGGCAGAGGCTATCTGACTGCAGGTGTCATGGCCAGGCTTGCTTGAGGTAATCCAGAACACCTGAGCAGGAGGTGCACTTCGCAGAGCATGTACCTCGCATCCCTGCCTGAGATACAAAGTCAAGGTGCTTTCGTAGAATGAGATTCTATCCAGTAGGCACAAGCTGATTGCTGGCCAGCAAGCTGGGCTATAATTAAGAGCTGGTGCATTCACAGAATGCTTCCATCACAAACACCCATTGTACCAGCTTTGCCTTACCAGTGGTGAAGGGATGGAGGCACCGATGATGCTACATAGTGCTCTCTTCCGTGCTGTGTGATATGACAGAGCCGTCTCAGTCCCCAGAAAGGATTGTCCTGTGCTTCTTACCTTGAAGGACTGCACAAAGGTCCAAAGTAAAATACGAATGGTGTAGCCCTGACGCAGAAGCTTTATGAGACGGGCAGCTCGGAAGAGCTTCAGAAAGCTCATATTGAAACCACTGGTGTTCACCAGCTGGTGGACCAAAAGGAAACATGTAATTAGTGACATTATGGCCATTTAGAAAAATCTAAGCACTGGTTATTTGTATATTTATTCCTCATTTAGATCACAAAATAGAAGACAGTCTCTGTCTTTCTCTGTTAACCCGAACTCCAGCAGATGGTTCAGGCAGCATGCGCTTCTTAGCCTTCTCATGCCTGTCTTCTATCCCCAGCAGAAGAAAGGAGGAATCTCGACACAGGAGACAAAGCTAGCTTCTGGTCTCTACCACGCAGTTGAAAGTTTACAATTACCAGCTACAAGAGCTTCTGTAGTAGTCCCTGTAACACACTATGGCCCTCCTCTACTCAAAGAGTATTACAATGAGCTTACAAAGTATTCTTCAGGATGAGCAAATTTGGGGAAAACATTCAGGCCTACGAACTCTGGAGGTAAAGATCCTACAGTTCTCAAAACTCTAGCAGAGCACTGTGCCTGCTAGCATTCTTCCAAAACTCCATGTTGCTCTACTTTCCAATTAGAGGTCTGGTATTCAAGTCATGTAAATGAAACAAAGCCTTCCACATGATTCAAATCTGCTCCAGCTCCCATTCTCTGGCTAACTCTTGGGAGTGAGGAAATGAACTCTCAGTGCTTGGAGGGGGACATATTTGGTTTGGTGAGGTAAAAGCAATCCTACTGGACAGAGGACTTTTTAAAAATGCTTACTCCAAAGCCAAGGTTAAAGACATTCACCTTGCTGTCTGTGAGGATAATTTCTGTGACGCTGCCAATCACGGTGATGAAGTCAAAGACATTCCAGGTATCTCGGAAATAGTTCTGCCAAGTGCGTTCAGTTGTAGGAGCGTGAGAAAAAGGAGGAGAAAAAAGAATGCAAGGGAAGAAAAGAAAAGACATCTTTCATTACGTAACTTCGTCACTTGGAATTAAAACTTGTCAATTCATGCACAAATTCATTCTAACTTTGGCTTTAGTTTCCTATTTCCAACCAGAATTTCTATTTCTCCTTTACTAATTTGGGAATTTCTCATTTAGAAAGTGGTTCCATCACTATTTGAACATTTTGTTTTTGAAACTGTCAGTGAGAGCTCATATAAGAAGTTTTATAAAAGTTTATTTTTTAGAAATATTTTTTACTGAGGTACTATTCATAAATAAAAAGGTGTAGATGTTTAATATCTACATCTTGGTGAGTTTGGGGATAAGTATCCACCTATGAAATCAATATGACCATTACACCACTTTTAAATTATGCATACTGCACCAAGGGACCCTATAAAACTATAGCTCTAATTTTCAGCAAAAAAAAAATATATATATATATATAGATAGATAGATATAGATATTCACACAAATTACAAGTGTCTAAAGGTCACAGACATGCCACAAGTCTTCCCTAACTCTATAAGCCTTTTCAAATCAAAAAGTGATGAACAGACTTCATTTTCTTCTCTTCCTGCTGTTACAGCTTTTGAAAGCAAGACTAGATAAAAACAAGGAAGCCGTAATGAAGTAAGCAGGATGAAGGAGAATAAGGAGAGACCAAGGACCTGGAAATCCACCATGCAGATAACTCCCCACTTAATCAGGGTAGACTATGTGGCCATCTCTTAGGCTCATGGGAACATAGACCTCGGATCTGGTTCCTTAAAACAGGACACTTAGGTCTATTTCTTCATTTTCTGTATGAGAAGGGTGAGGCTCAGTGAATTCTAATTCCAAAGCCATATACACCTCCAGAGCATGCACAGAAACTGATGCATGCTGCTTCACCAGGAAGTTCACTTTGCAAAACGGTACTGAGTTTATTGGTGGTAGAGGAAATTCCCGTGTTATCAGGACTCTCCTAGTCACCAATCAGAGGTAAACATCCTCCTTCTTGGCTCACAGGTCTAGTTAGCAAAGGACCTGAAGCGCTGAGTTCCAGTTGAGGATGCTTTACAGGATAGCATATTGAGATATAAGATGGCATAGTGAGGAACAGTACCATCCCCTCTTAAATGTGACTAAATTTCCCATAATTTCAGTTTCTTGCAATTCAAAAATATTACATGGAAAAGCTCAGTAATAAATAATTTGCAAGTTCTAAATTACTTAGACTTCTGAGTAACATGACAAAATTTCACATCTTATCCAGGACCTAAAGCATTTCTCATTTGACCCATGTATCCATACTGTATATGCTATCCCCCATTCATCAAATATTTTTGGTCCTAGGTATGAGCTCAATTGTGGCACCATGGTGATTGAGTTTAGTAATCTTTATTTTATTTAATAATGCCCCAAACTGAAGAGTATTGGCACTGGCAATTTAGATATGCCAAAAGAAATGCTAAAGTGCTTCTTTGGGGTGAAAATGTTCAAATTAATAGGAAAAGCCACAGTCATCATGCACCACATAATGACATTTTGTTTCTCATAGAATTACTTTTCCTATTTACAGCAGTTTTAGTTTGTACATGTATGCTCATTGATGTTTTTACGATGCCAAGATACCTAACAATTTGTCTCTCAGAATTTACTCATTTAGTGATGGATGGCTCTATACACAAAGAGTTCTATAGGATCTGCAATGTCAGGCATCACTGGGGATTTTAGAATTATCTCTGACAGACAATGGGGGAAGTGCTGCATAGACTAGGGGGTTATTATGAACTTTAAAGTCAGACAGACCAGGATTTGAACCCTGGCTCTGCCTTTTACTAACCTTGGGGAAAGTTTTCATCCATTTTGAGCAACAGCTCATCCATAAAAGAAGAAAATAATAATATCTATCTATTGTAATAGTCATGAAGATAAAGTCAATATGGAAAGCATTTGAAACATAATAGGCTATATGATTTACACTACTTCTTTCTGTCTTCTTGTTCATTTCCCTTTTTATTACCACCTTGCTTTGCAATTCTGCCCTTCATTGTGTAACCTTTAAAAAGTTATACAATTTTTTGATGCTCAATTGCCTCATTTAAAAACAATTATAATAATGGCAATAATGATAATGATATCTGGCATGTGAATTTCAGAGTCATTGAAAAGACACAGCATATATTGGGAGTCTAGAGTCTGTATCATGTGTAGACGTATGCAGACTAGTGATGGCTTTAGTAGTGTGAACGCCTCTAAACTGCGAATAAACCCTGGGGTGAAGGGTGGAAAGGAGGCAGGTCTGGGGCCAAATCTATTGGTTAAGCCTATAAGTATGTATTCAGCCTTCATAATAATTAGACTCATAATTGGAGGCTAAGTCACAGACAACGTCAATATTACATGCAAGCCATCAAGATACATACAGAAACTGCCCTGTCGTGGCTCTGGTGTCTCACTTTTTCAATTCTCTCCTCTCAGGGCTGGGTTGTTTTATAAAAGCATCTTTGTTGGTGGCAGCTTCTTTTTTACCTTGCTTTTCCAAGTCTCAAAACACTCAAAAGGAAATCAAGTAAACTACAATGCAGTCCCTTGCAAAGGGTTCCCTTCAACTCTCCACCCTGAACAATCAAATTAATGGTGTTTCAAAGAAACAGAAGGAGATCAAAAGCAACTCCTACAATCAACACTGACAATGATCAAACCCAGGCCTGAGTCTGTCTTAAATCTGTTAGAAGACACACATTTATTGAGATCAGCCACAAAGTTTTTCTACTTGGGGCAGGGGAGATGGTTCAGTGGAATAAGTGGTTCCCTGGCAAGCACAAAGGCCTGAGTTCAATCTCCGGTTCCAAAAAAAAAAAAGAATTTAGCAGAGTATTGAAACTAGCAGTTAATTGGTAGGATTCTCACCCTGACTAACTATATATGCTGATATCTGTGAGCTAAGCAACTGCACTGAAGATGGCAATGTGTAATAGAAGGGTCACACTTAAATGCCTGTCATTCTGGTCCTCTAAATATGTACTGCTTATCATGTCATATCAATTACTGCTATACTGTCTCTCAAGTAAATATTTGTTTAAAGAAAAGGGTAATAAATGAAAACAAGAGACAAGAAAAAAAAATGTCATAGGACTGTCCTGCTACAATGCTGTATATGGTTAGATTTCTAAATTTCTGTGTAAAAATATGAAATTGTTTATTCCTATTTTTAAAATATTTTTTAATTTTTTCTTCATATTCTGTAGAGACTTAACATTTAATATATCAATACTTGATGGAAAATACCTGTTCCATGTTATGCCTAAGATGTTTGATATTCAGACAGATAGTGAGGTTAAGCTCAACTGCCTATGTTGTAGGGTAATAATACTAAGCTTCTTTTCTGGAGGGTTAACAACCTGTTTGCAGACCAAAAATTAGAGAAAAAGAAGGGCTGCAAGGACAGCCAACATTTTGGCCCTAGCCTTTCAAGGTCAGTGAGGACTCAGGACATAAGAGAACCTGTACTATAACATTCTATAACTCAGTTGTGTCCCAAATTTTCTGATCAAGGAGATTATGGGGCCACAGGGGAAAGTGTTCAATGATGTAGAGTGTACCTAAGGAGAGTCACATGAAGAGGAAACATTCTCTAAGGCTTTCAAAGAGAGCAAATTGGTCAAGCAATGGTCACATGACTCATCCACATGGCTGACACTGACAAAGGATCTACAAACTGTGGCACAGGGTTTCAGGGTAAATTCTGAGGAGATCTGACTGATTTTGGCAGATAGAAAAGTTACAATTCTTGTTATATTAGTCTTGCTTTATCTTCATCTTAACTATTCAGCAGAAAGGTATAAAAATGAAGTATTAAAAAGTAAAGCTACATTAATATGCTGAGCTGTAAAAGGTTCAAGTCAACAACTTCTGACATTGCCAGTCCTACAGAAAACCCACCTTTATGGACTACTGGACTATATTGGAATTTTTTGCTGAATTCACACACCTACAATATTTAGATGATGATGGAATACCCTTCTCTGACAAAATTAAACAGAAAAAGGGGATACAAATGAAGGACCATTTTGTATCTGTATATTCAAAATAGTTAGGATAGATATACAGCTATTTTCTCTTAATTCAATAAATAGAAATATTTGTTTCAATAGTGTTTGTGGACAGGATATCATGTCTGCATTTTGTACTATGAATAACCACTAAGAAAACAACAACCTGCAATGTATTAATTATTGAAAATGTTCTACTAATCGGTTTTGAAACTGTCTCATTGCTATTTGTTTCTCAATAAAATTATTTTTAAAAGTTCAAAAAACAAGTTTTTCTTCTTGCAGGGAAAGACATACATCATATAATTTGGAATGGTAGCTCACAAACTAAATAGGTGGGAAGCAGCTGTCAAGCAGGCTTATCAGCATCCTACCGAACTTGCAGCACACCCTGAAGCAGGGAAGGTGAGGAAACAGAGGGGACTGGTTTTTAATAGGACACTGAAACAGTAGGCCAGGCTTTCTTAACACTTTTGAGCAGAGATGCCAAGAATTCACCAAACAATTATAATTAGTAATTGAGGAAAAGTACAAGGAGAGCTCATGCTGGAAAAACTTATTGCCATCCCCCCAAACCCAATTCTAGAATCCTTCCCCCACCCACATACCCTTAAAGGTCACTGACATTTGTAAGCATAGGTAATAAACATTTATTTTCATTGGTAGAATTTATTCTTCATGCCTCTCATGGCAGCAAAACTAATAGGTAAAATCTATTATTCGCTATTATTTTAGGCTAGAGGGACAGATGTTTTTCATCTGAGTCATGAAATTCTTACACGGGTTTCTTAGCATAGACTTTGTTTTGGTCCTTTCCACATAAACTGTAGCTGCTATAAAACACAGTGATGGCGAGCTCTTAGCTGCAGACAGAATTAGACAAGATCGAATCAAGAAGGTAGTTAGATGAACATGCAACCAGGGAGCTGGCTCCCTTGCCCTTTTTCCAATCCTCCTCACACGCTCTCCTATCTCCGTGGCAGTTTGTTGAGCAGCCAAAATGAGCTCACAGTGATGTGGCAGGTGGGTGAACCATTTATGGAGCAGCAGTAGATGCCACCTTTCAACAAAGGTTGGGAATGCACCCAAAAGAAGAGAAGACAGGCCCAATGCTGGGAGAGATTCAGGGACATACCAAGAAGCCAAAAGCGATGATCTTCAGGACACATTCCAGAGAAAACACCATGGTGAAGGCAATATTCAGGTACTTCAGGGCCAACTCATAGGTGCAGGGAGCAGAGTAATACTGCCAGGTGGATGAAAAGAGACAAAGAAACAGCACCTTATGGTAAGGGACGCAATACATGTCACCAAGGATAGCAAGCTCTCAATGTGAGCTTGTGGGCTACTTTGTGTGCGGTACAGGGGGACGAATATTGAGTGCTAGAGTGGAAAATTACACATCCCATGTGGCAAAACAAAGCAAATCACAGAACCATGCCCTACCCACCTAGACTACTTAATAGAAAAACTGCTAGTCTCCTAAGATGGAGGTGGGCAGGGCTGAAACATTTTGCAGAGGGTACTTTACTATTTAGTATTACATAAGATCAAATGCTCCCAAACTCTGATGCTCCTTTAGACCCCCTGTTGTCTGAGGGACACTTTCCACCCTTGTGGGAGTTAACTCTTAGCACTACCTTTGGTTTCAGAAGCTCCTGGACTGCTACTGCATGCCTCACCAGATTGGTTCACTGGGGCCCAGGGTCCCATGGAGAAATGAGAGGTAACAACCTGGTACTTTGGAAGGCTTTTCTAGTGTCCCTGAGCACACAAAGACGCTCAAGGAGGGAACACCCTCCTCTTACCTTCATCATCAGCACCACAGTGTTCAAGGCAATCATGGCCATGATGGTGTATTCAAAGGATGGAGATACCACGAAGTGCCACACACGGTATTGGAAAGTGTGCCTGTTCTGTGGCATGTAGCGGGTGAGCGGTTTGGCACTGATGGCAAAGTCGATGCAAGCCCGCTGCAGAGAAGCCACCGTTATTAGTGCTGGCTCAGACTCCTACACCTTGCACAGGGTGAGCACTCTGTCACAGGTTAGAGAGTGAGGGTGGCAAAGGTACAGCAGGGTAGAGCTACACAAACACAGAACCTGACAAAACTACAGGCAAGATGTCACTCTACACGGGTACATAGAACTGGAGGTCTTCTGTCTTGTGGGGTAAGGACTTGCTGGCTATTAATAAAGCCTTTTCACATAACCTGTAGCTAAGACACTTAGATAGGAAGTCTTCCTTGATTCCCTTAGCCAGAACAACAGATCTACAGGCTGGGAATCCTTTATTGGAAATGCATAGAACTACAAGTATTTGAGATTTCAGACTGTTTTCCAGTTTTTTTAATATCTGCATGAACATAAGATATTTTGGAATGGGACCCATGTCAAAACAAAACTCATATTTTATGTATGCCTAATACAAATAGACTAAAAATAATTTTATATAACATTTTTAATAATTTAATGCATGAAACAAAATTTCATGCTGTGGATTTTCCACTAGTAGCATGTCATGTTGCTCAAAGTTTTGAATTTGGGACCTTTTTGGATTTTTGGAATAGAGATACTCAACCTGTATCTGTCTATGTAGTCATTTAATCCTTAACCATTTCTCATTCAGTTCTATTGTTCATCCACAAAACTGACTATGGAATCCTACAAGTTGCCACAACTATGCTTCTTTTTGGAAAAGCATCCATAAGACATAGTCCCTACCTTTAGAGAAAGTATGTATGTCCTGGAGGCCAAAGTCAAAAGCAAAGGTCTTAATGTCATCTTTGAGGTGCACATCTATTCCTTCCAGATTGTTCTACTTAAGGTAGAGACTGCACCCTAAACACCTCATGTTCCACCTGCTAGTTCTCTGTGCCCCACTCACATTTGGGCCTTAAGTGGAGGGAGTGCTCAGAAAATGCGCTTAATGGTACTACTGTTTCCATCTTGTCTCTATAACTGCATCGTAAATTCACAAAGACAGTCTTTCTCAGGCCCAAGGCTCCAGGTTCCTTCCTGATGCGCCCGCACCCCTGTCACGACCACCTTTTGGTACCTCATTCTTCTCTAGGCTGCACTCCTCCATCATCTTGTCTCCTTGTTCCTGGAAGGTGATGATGATGAGAGCCACAAAGATGTTGACAAAGAAGAAGGGAAAGACCACGAAGTAGACCACGTAAAAGATGGACATTTCCATGCGGTTGCTGCGGCTTGGACCTCGGTCCTCTTCTGTCACATCTACAGAGTGCTGCAGAACCCTGTGGGCAAGATGATGTGGACACAGATGGTGGATGGCAGTGTTAGGAGTCATGCCACCTATTACAGCCCTGGAGCAGGGCTCTTTAACTTTATAGATCCTCCTTTAATTTGGGGTCTCTACAACCACGCTGGTGAAGACCTGCTAACACCTCAGTCCACTGCTGTTTCTAGCTGTGCTCACATCCTAAGCAACAGAGTGATAACACTGCATGGTTTAAGTCATTATATTCAATAACAAGTGACTCCTGAATCACTACTTAGGATTTTTCTACCAACTAGAGTATGCTGTCTCCATAAAGTGTTGCCTTAGTCATTGCTAAGTTTCTCCAGAATTAGCCTTTAGTTATGGGCAGAACAGAACTTGCATTCCGGGGTCTTCTCCATAAGAGATATGATGTGCCTGTGCGCTCTCCTAGCTCATACTTATCACTCATCCTCAGGCTCTTAGGTACAGGGCCAAGTTGGAGCATAAATCTGACTACAGTAGCCCCCAGGGAGTCTCCCAGGAGATGGAGAGCTGCTGAAAATTCTTTTGTTCTACAGGGGTCAGATGGCACCACTCAGTTCCTCAATAATTGGCTAAAACAGTCAGGTTTCAAATAGTTCCCTTTGTCTTCTCCCTCTGCATCTTCCCCTGAGCTTTGTGCTCTGCCTCTTCTGTGCCTGTCTCACCCACTCATAACCACTTGCTCTCCTGAGTACAATAACAGTGGTTAGCTTTGCTCCTCTTGGATCCGCTTCACAAAGTACCATGTAGTCCTGCCCCAGCTCACAGATAGGTGTACCAACCACAACCCAGCACTCACTGAGGCCATCCTTCCCCTGTGGAAACTGTGAAGAGGGTCAGCAGGGCCCAGATGATGTTGTCATAGTGGAATTCATGGCGCTTCCATTCCCGGCCCTTCACTTCCATCTTGTTTTTCTCATGGTCTACATAGTTGCCTCTAAAATCAGAGTGAAAAGGAAAATGGGGCTCTTTACTACATCTCAGAGAAAAGCCAGAAATTTCCATAGATTTCAATAATGTAGGGTAACAATGAGCACCATACAAAATGCAAGGAAGAAAGATTTCATTAAAAGCAGGTGGAACCATGGAATACAAGTCATATTTATGTTCAGTAGATGTGGGATTAAATCCCCACATTTTCACTAGTTATGTGTAACCATGAGCAATTTAAACTTTGAATCTGAGCTTTCATGTCTGAGATATACAAATGAAACCCAGATTTTTATGAGAATGTAAAATGACAAACTGAGTATAAGAGATCTTCAATAACATTTGACACAAAAGATGTTCCTGTTTTATGTGTCTACAGAAAGCAGCCCAGAGAAGGAAAGGGGACAGCGAATCTGTGGAGCATGGAGAAAAGCTCCTCAGAACATGGTGAGCAGGAGTGAGCACGAGGCACATGTGGCACTTACATGCACTCCTTCTCTGTGTCCTTGGAACTGTCTGTGCAGTAAAAGAACTTCCCCTTGAACAGCTGGACTGCGATGACTGCAAAGATGAACATGAAGAGCTTGTAGACAATGAGAATGTTGAAGACATTCTTCAGGGAGGTCACCACACAGTCGAACACAGCCTGTGGAGAGCAGCAAAGGGCCCTGGCATGTGAGACCTGTGACAATGTCTGCACCTGCCCAGAGCTGAGGTGGGGCCACACCACCACCCTGCAGCACTGAGAAGGTGCCGCAGGACATGCTGCCCCACTAAGGAGGGGGTGACACCTATGGGACTAAGGTGCTTTCCAATCCGGTCATGACAGTAAGGACCTCCCCCTGGGAAGAAAGCACACTCTAACTGAAAAGAAATCCAGAGCAGTAAACCTAAACATGATGACATAAAGCCATAGAGGGGATTCTTTGCGGGATCCTAGTAGTGTAGTCAGTGTGAAGCACAGAAGTTTAATGCTGCAGGGGCTATTTGCAATCACCTAGTCCATTTTTATCATTAAACAGCTTGTCCCTGCCCTACTGGCTGACATTCATATGTTTATTACTGTGCTGATTGTGTTTGCTGTTTACCTTTCCTAAATGAATCAGGGAGTGACCAGTACACTACAATCTTTGTGCATTTCAATGGTGCTCTGTCATATGTCCATACATTTGTTCTGATTATATTTAATCCTGCTTGTAAATGTCCTTCAGTTTAAGAAGTTTTTACCAAGATGGTGCCGAAGGCAAAGAAGGAAGCCTCTGCCCCTCCCAAAGCTGAAGCCAAAGCAAAAGCTTTGAAGGCCAAGAAGGCCGAGCTGAAAGGCATCCACAGCCACAAAAAGAAGAAGATACGAATGTTACCCACTTTCCACCATCCCAAGACACTGTGGTTCCAGAGGTTGCCCAAATACCCCAGGAAGAGTGCCCCCAGGAGAACCCAGCTTGACTACTATGCCATCATCAAGTTCCCCTGACCACAGAGTCAGCCATGAAAAAGATTGAGGACAACATACTCACGTTCATTGTGGATGTCAAAGCCAATAAAACAAGATGTAAAGAAGCTCTATGACATTGATGTTGCCAAGGTCAAAACCCTAATCAGGCTTGATGGAGAGAAGAAGGCATATGTTCGACTGGATCCCATTATGATACATTGGATGTTGCCAGCAAAATTGGGATCATCTAAACTGAGTTCAGCTGGCTAATTCTAAATACATACTTTTTTCCCAGTTAATAAATAAAGCAAGCAAGCAAGCTAGCATGTAAATAACAGAGACAATGTGAGAAGGGCCAAGACCAGCCCCGATCCAGAGATGAGAAAGGATGGAAACAGGCATTTACACTTCCATTAAAAGATGATGGGACTCCACCTAGCTTCATTCTAAGCCCTAAGATGTAAGGACGTACACAGAGGTGCGACTCGTTTCCAGCCATTTCTAGGTTGTTTTCTAGGTTTTGAGGTTGAGCTCACTGGGGGGAGAGTCTAGCCCCATGGTGGCTCCACATTTGTGCAGTTGCCTCTCCACAGCACTGGGTGAAGCATCACTGGTTTAATTAGCCCAACACCGCAGGAAATGTGAGTGGCACATAGCTGAGTGGAATCATCAGAGCCACCCACATCTCCCTCAGGTTACACTGTGGAGAGAGGAACCAGCACTCTCTAATTTAATAGAATTAACCAAGGCCGAGGTCACCTTCTCCAGCCTGTTAACTAATCTCATCAGGCTGCCTGCAGGCTCCTGAGATCCACAGACGCCTGCACTGCAGCTGACACCCATGGCTGGTGCCCCAGGAAAGGGGCACAAAGAAAGAGTACTGCCAGGCAGAGGCCAGGCCAGCTGCTGTACAATGAGAGGTCTCATGACAGGGGGAAGGCAGGGAAGCCACTTCTTCAGAAGCGTAAGTGTTTGCTGCTCGGAGTCCGTACAGTGCACTAGGGCCTTGGTTCTGAGAGGAAGCCATGTCTTAGCCAGTTTGGGCCTTTCAGAAGTGACTTTTCTTCTGTCCCCTGCCTTGGATAAGTCTAGTTTGTTTTGCTTCCTCCTTGCAGAACAAGAGCAGAAAGGAAGGGCTGACCAAATAGCTCAGTGGATTAAAGCACCTGCAAGCAGGCACAGGGGCCGGGGGTTCAATCCCTAAGCCTGCTATGGTGGCCCTGAGCCCAGGGCGCACTAAGACTGCAAAAGAGACTGGGTGTGGTGGTATGTGCCTACAATCCCAGCTCTTGGAAGGCTGTAACCAGGTGGATCACTACGAGTCCAATTTAGTAGGGAGACCCTGAACACCCCGTAGACCCTTCCCTAAAGCATTCTGTCCTCTGTGGCAGGCATGGGAGAGAGCAGGCCCACATATGCTAGAAGAAGTGCCGGGTTCTCTTGCACAGGCCACTCAAGTCAGTCCATCTGTCCACACCACAAAGGTGTGTTAGGAAGTTTTCAAGGTAAACCTCTAAGAATAAGTAATTTGCCACAGGCCATGAAGCTCCTACATCCAGAGCTGAGCGTGGCACTAACAAGGACTCTTTCCATGGTGACAGAAGCTGGGTTTATAAGGTAGCTTCCAAACCTCTCGCCCAGGCAGTCTAGTTTTATTGTGCTTGAGTGGCCCAGGAACCTGCATTTGAAAGGGCATCTACCTGATCCTGATGCAGGTGCCTATAACTCCCACTGTGAGGTGCAGCACTATTCTTTGTGACTTTACAAGCAGGTAATTAAATCTGCTGCTGAGGAAGCACCCTGATGCAGCCCCCAAAGATGGGCTCAGCCCCATTGCTTCAGCTTGCTGTCCTGGTCACATGGCCCTGGAAGCAGCAGCAGCAGGACTGAGAGACTAGGGACTGGCAGCCGAGAAGTCATAGCCATTCAGACAGAACGTCTGTTCTATGTAGCCACAGCTTCTATTGACCCCCACAGCAGGGAGGGGGGAAGGCAGGATGGATGTGAGTCCAACACACTAGCAAACAGAAGTGGAAAAGCATAACCTAAGAGGGGGAAGACCTTGCGAAGCTGGCACCTGGAAGCCTGAGCCAGCAGGGTACTGGGCAAGGAGGAATCAGGTCCTGCCAACAGGAAGAACTTCATTTGGGGTAAGTCACAGACCTGTTTCTCTGCTGCCTGAGCCAAAAATAGACCCCGTGTCCTTAGAAAAGTCACTGACGTAGAGAGATTAGATCTAGCAGATCCCTTCCTTTTTCAGATTCATAAATTTAAAAATCCCAAGTTACACAGCTGACCCTAGCACATAGTCTGTGACGGGTTCCCATGGCTTCCATCTTAGTGTTCTGGGTCCACTCTAGTGTGCTCATAAGCTCCAGGACAAACACCCATGATCTTCTTTCTGGATGACATGGCACTAGAGAGTACACGGTACTACCCCGGTCTGGTATCAGGAGGCAAAAGCCCTTGTACTGAGTTTTTGGGATGCTGGGTATTTTCCTTCAAAACTGAGACCTCAGCTGAGGGAGATGAAAAGAACCTCAGTATCTGTATAAGGAAACTAAGTATCTCCAGAGTGAATTCTCCAATTCACTTTAGCCATGGAGGAGGGATATGAAGAGAGAAAACTCTGAACGCATTACCTTGAGCTTGGGCAAGCGCTTGATTGTTTTCAGGGGCCTCAGAACTCGGAGCACCCGCAGAGATTTGATGGTCTTGATGTCGCGGCCCTTGTTGGTTCTGCAGGGGAGACACCGCCAGCAGTCATTTTAAACAGGGGGAGAAATCAAAGCAACAGTCACACTTCTGCATCACTAAAACAGGTGAAAGGATAGAGATGTGGAAAAAAGGCCAGAAATTGGGCCAGTGTAGACTTCTTCAGGGACACTCAACAGCAAAACACCACAGGAATATTCTCCAGTCACCCCCTCCCAGAGTGCGTACACACACACACACACACACACACACACACACACAAATATGCACATATACTCCTGAGTGTGTACCTGTGTGCACAGATGGTCCCTGACTCACTCTGGCTCAACTTACAATGTTTCTACTTGATGATACGGCAGTGATAAGCACCCAGTAGAAACTGTACTTCAAATTTTGACCTTTTCTAGGGCAGAAGCATGCAGTACAACACTCTCGTCCCATACTGGGCAGAGGCTGTTTCAGTCAGCCACGAGATCAGGAGGGTAAACAGTACTCTACTCTGTCACTGAGCTCTGATATTTGGTAGGTAGATGTATTAAATGCATTCTCAAATGGCATAGTTTCAACTTTTATGGATTACTGGGCCCAAAACCTATTGCAAGTTATGGAGCATCTGTGCAGAGGCCATGAGGAGCACAAAAGCACACATACACCTCCACATGCACACAAGCATGCCTTTCCGTATGTTAATAATTTTTCTCCCTAGCTACCAGCCTAATGCTGCTCATTACCACACTGGCAAATAAACAGAAGGTAGGTCAAAGAGGGAGCACAATCAGTGTGGAGGGCCACTGTGCCTAGCCCGGTGTTTTTCCAGCAGCAGGCTCTCAAATGACCATCACTGACTTGGAGGAGAATCCATGGCTAACCTTAGCAAGGCATCTGACTCAGTCTGGGTGCCTTACCTCTGCACAGTGCAGCAGGGTGGGAAGCAGAGGTGAGGAGCGTTGGCAGGAAATGTGACACCCACCCCGTCCAGAGAAGTTTCTTGCCAGGACCTTGGCTCACACCCCAGTATCTCCGGGTGGCTGGCTCTTCCTGTGGTTCCTTCCCTGATACTCTGCACGTAGTGTGAGCTTCACAGCATCACTCAGGCCCTGCCCGCCCTTCTTCTACCCTGTAGCTAATGACTGTCCTCATTCAGCCTTTTAGAAATGCTTGCTCCAGCTGAGAGAAATACAGTTGTTCTTTTATTTCCAGGAATGAAATGAATAAATCAAATTGCATCTCTCTCCTCTCTGCACATCCCCTGAGATCTTTACATTCAGTTCAGATAACTGCAATTTGTAAAATTTGCAGGTGGTAAAAAACAAGCCTAACTAGTGTGGTTTGGGCTCTAGTTTCTTTCTCAAGTTATCCCAGGTTACTACTACACCAACAGTTTGAGGACAGAAGATCCAGAATATCATGATGAAACTACTATTCAGGATTCTGCCTGAATTTCGCTGTGAGATACATACCCTCATATAGGAAGAGAGCATTTTCTTTGTTCTTCACACAAGGTAAGGCAGGGAGACATTTAACCCAAGCTCAGGCATGCTGACTTTGTCCAGAGTGTAATTTTACAGCTATCTTAATGGTCACAGGCCATAACCTACAATCCTTTTTATTTATCTATACATCTGAATAGAAATAATCCAAAAGTATCAAATTGATACAGATTTTTGCATCCAGAGCCTTTGGTATATTTTCTAAACTATTACATAACGAAAAGAGGCAACATATAAGTCAAATACTACCCATACTAATAAGAATAATTATTTCTCAAGGTGGCTTTAATCTTTTGGCTATCAGTGGAAATCAGGCCTCATTTCTCAATGAGTCACATCCTCCCCTCCCAACCATAGTTTCTTCCTCCTCCAATCCACCCCTCCCATCTTTTACTTAAGCAAAAATCAAATGTATTTACCCCAAAGCGTTTCTATGAAGGATCCATTCAGAAGGCAGTAACAAAAGGGGTAGGGGACGGAGAGAAAGACACTGTTAGAAAACTCCAAGGAGAACAGAGACCTCTATCATGACAGAACCTACTCACAGCCTTGGCACTTGTGGAGCCCATGGGATTTCTGGAAGAAAGGACCAAGCACCACCTGTTCCACAAGCTCCACCCCCAACCTCAGGGACAGAGATCTTTTGCAAGCACTAGTGAAACTTCCACTAGGTCAGTGGCATGCCAAGTCTTGGACTTTGCCCACTCAAGCCTCGCTTAATTAAAATTTTCTAAATGTAGACTTTACATTATCTGAATAGTCTTCAGACAAAAACACAGTTTCTGGTGGATATATAAGAAACCAGGCTGGAGGAATTATACCTCTGCATAATTCCTGTTCTAGGAAAAGCATTTCAAGTCACAGGAGGGTAGCTCCGCTCTAGCAGGGTTTTGTCTGAAGAGAAACAAGTGACTACCAGCAGGTGTTTACTACCCCGGTGTCTCTCCAAAGCTCGCATGACCAATATCACTAAACCATTTGGCAATGAGCGGGAGCTATTTGTCTATGAAGGTTGTAGAAAAAAATCTGCCCTTTGATAAGTTAAATGACAAAGTGTTTGTTGTGAGTTACTTACTGTACAGATGAAGAAAAATTATCACTGCTCTAGGGATGAGTCATAGTAAGTCACAGTGTCAATATTTTTGAGATAGAAATCATTGAATTTTAACTTCTTGAGTAATTATTATTTATTCTGTGCTATACCCATTAGTGCAAATCTTTAACGTTCTTAGTCATCTTAGGACAGGGGCTTTACCCTTCTTGTTTCACAGGTGAGATTCAGAGCAGTTAAGATGACCAGTGTCAGCAGGGAGGGACTTGGGTGTAAGTATGGATGATGCTTGGAGCTGCTACTCTTAACTACAGGGTTGGTGCACCAGTAGCTTGTGGTTCAAGGCTCTGTCAAACAGTTCACCAAATGTTAGAGCTAGAAAAGGGATCTGAAACCTACTTCCTTGCGGAAGAAACTGAGGCACCAAGAGGAAGTGGCACTCTGATGGTCACTCCAAGAAAGAGCCCAGAGCCACAGGTCAGCACATAGCCTGTGATTTATCTCCTTGGCCCACAGCTATGAAGAAGTACCCAAAATTCAGGCTTTGGTTCTTAACTGCTAGTAACTATGAAGATTGTTTTCCTGCCTAACTTTTTTTGCATGTAACAAAAAACTATGTCACACTATCTACCTAGATAGGTCACAAGTAAAATCTTTTAATGCCCATTTTACTCAGTAAACAAAACCGATTTTCAACATTATGTTAATTTTTGCTGTGAGTTCCAACTGAATGCTTATGTGAGAATTAAACCCAGGGCCTCAGACCCTTAAAATCTTTTTCTTTGAAAGAGCAGATATATTTATTGGAGGAAAGAAAACTTCTATCTGAGAGAGGGACAGAAGGGAACCCGAGTGGGTCAGAGCCTTAAATTCTTAATGTGGTAATCTCCCAGGATTCAGAGGACAGAAATATCTTCCCTTGAATTGGAACAGAATCTTTCCACATACGAGATCAGACATTAGTTGGTCAGTTAACAATGCCTTTATCTTTCATACAGCAAGTATCTGTGGAGTCCTTACCTTACACCAGGCACTGTTCCAGGTACTGGAACAAAAGTGGCTAATGCCTTGGAACTTGCCTAGTCTAGTAGGGAAGACAGACCTCAAGGAGATGAACACACAAATAAAAGTAAATTGTGAACTGCCATGGGAGAGGTTGAATCATTTGATTGAAAATTAACCAAAATAACAACATAAATTACTCTCCTTTCTCCAAGGGTACGTTAATTTTGAGGGAAAACTAAAGGATATTTCCATGCCCCTAAAATGTGGGAACAGGTTGGGGAATCAATATACAGGCGGGGGGTTGAGGGTTTGCTTTCTGCTTAGTCCTGGTCCATATCTCAGAGACCTTTACAGCTAGGGCAACTGAAGGCATTCTTAGAGGCCACACAAGAAACAACAATAGGCAGGATGGCTTGATATTTCTTGCTCTTTTGACACGTTCAGATATAGAACAGAACTTGCTCTCCACGATTAAATTTTCTCCAGGCTCACAGTAAAAAATATCATGATATGGAACATGGGAGATTCATAATCACTGTGTGCACATTCTTGTTTTAGAGATTAGGTTCATTGGAAATTGGACTTCTTCAGATCTCAGAAGAGATAATAGTCCCATGCAGGCTGAAAGGGAAATAAGGACTCATCATTGCTTTCACACCTTTAAAACAAGTCCCTTACTTCAGAGGAGACACTGAAAAACTATGCTTTTGTAGCATCTAGGAGGTTCAGCACTGAGATACGAAGCTATGATTTTAAACATACACAGAAAAATGTTTGCCTCCTATATTTTGTTAATATAGGGTCAACAGTGATTTGGAAATTAACATTTGAAATAAAAAGAATACTAGATAACATAGCCACGGAGTCAGAAAAGCCTCAACAATTTAGTCCTGACTAAATAAAATATGCTATAATTTAGACAGGTGGTAGGCCAAGGTACCTCTCCCAAATATATTATGAAAGCCAACAAGATTTCAAGAGAGACGCTGTGCAAAACAAGGAGGGCAATGTTGCGGTCGGAGCACATTGTTTTGAAAATAATTTATGTGCGTTTCAAAAATCATCTAAATAAGGCATGTGCTAATACTGTTAGTCTTTGCTACTAATTATATAATCAGATTTTTTACACATCTTAGCTAGTTAGAATTTTAACAGATTTAAAAGTTGACTGTAATATAACAATCTGAGAATAATTCTACATGCTACAACACTGGCCCCACTTTGGGACTCAGTGGGACACCTATTTTACCATTTGTTTTCTACTTATCTGAAAGTAGCCTGGCTGTCCTCCAGGAAAAAATAGTGCTGTTTTGCTTGTGGCTCACCAGTAAAAGATGAGAATTTCCCAGCTCAGCTGTCAAGCTGTCCTCCAGATGTGTCATGGGCAATCACTTGTCATTCACTGTCATCTTTGCTCCAGCTACTGGGTCCCTTTTGCGCAGAGGACACGCTCAAGTTGATTTCCGCTAAGAACTGGCTTTCCTTCCATGGTGGCAGAGCAGAGATATCATGATCTGAACAGTGCTTCATTCTTTTTGTTCCTTTTTTTCTCTTCAGTGGTAGGGATTGAATTTTAGGCATGACACACACTGGGCAAATGCTTTCCCACTGAGCTCCATCCAGTAGCACGAGCCCGTTGCTCTTTTGGTGCCAGGGTGCTTTGCCTTCCTGTAGAGCCTAGGAGGCAACAGTGCAGGGGCCTAAAGGAATCTCTTGCCTTGTGGGAATGATTAGGCTTGTAGGAGGGTAAGACAGAAAGAGAGGACATGCTGGGAGGAACTTGGAGTGCTTTCCTAAAGGGTCTGGAGATAATTACTTGGTAGGCAATAATTACTACACTTGTTATATAATTTAAGTGCTTGATATCATATTGAACACTAAATATATTTTACCTTATTTAATCTCCCAGGACTAAAATACATTTAGTTTTAATTTCCACTTGCTGATAAAGAAGTGAAAGTTCAGAGCGTGAAGGCAGCTAATAATTAATATTGCTAGGACTCAGACCTAAACATGCCAATATCGAAACCCATGCTCTTATGTGCCGTGTTACAATACTCTCAAAAGGGAAGCACTGACAGATTTTTAACTGAAGAAAGGAATAGTGAAAGAAACAAGCAATTTCTGAGCTTGAATATTAAGGCAATTTATTCTACTCCCTATAGTCAGTCTGGGTCCATTCATGGGAATAAAACATTACAGGTGAAACATCAAGATGCAGACCCCCAGGGGTGCCCTTCACTATCTGCCCTATAGGTCCTGTGCATGTCCAAGCACTGAAGAAAGGATCTTCAGGCTAAGGTGAGGCCCTGGCAAACCATTGCTCTGAGTTTACCAGAATGAGTGGCCTAGAACTACTCTGAATATCATGACAGAAAGGACTCTAATATACTGAGGAAAATGCTAAACTCGAAATCAGCACCCCAAGGCTGCCCAAGAACAGACTTGGCTTTTGACTCATCCAAGGAGTCAAACTAGTCAAAGCTCTGGGAATTCATTTCCAGACTGTCATAGAATAAATGACATAAAAGTATGCAAAGAAATGAGAAGGAAGTTTCCCACTCTCACACTGACAATGCTTGCCTCTCTAAGGCCTCTGGGTAGGACTAGGATTGTCTGCTTCTGTGAAAACCTCAGGTTTGCACTTTGGCTGTGTTGCTGCTCAGCTGCTGCCACCTGGGAATTATTTTTCCTGCCATCCATGACTCAGTATCTCCCGGGGGCACCCAGAAGCCTTAAACCCATCAGTACTCTGTCAGCTTTGTTCTGTGAAATCAAACTAGCTCAGTGCTTGATGCCCTAGCCTTTCCTTCTTGCACAAATGCCTCAACAAGCTTCTCATGGATCTTAAACCCTTCTGCAAGCATTCGCCTTTGCAGCTCTCGTCCCTACACTCCAACTGGAAGGAATTTTTTGTGTGCATGCACTAAGCAGCAGCGGGAGGCAGCAAAGCATCTGTCTTCTGGCAGTTTTGTTATTTAGTGAACAGTATTCCTTCTTAGCCTTCTTATTCTAAACATACCCCTAAATCATCTGCTGATCTTTCGAGGAAGGCCTTGCCCAAAGTACAGCCAATCCAGCCTCCCAGCTGGAGAGGAATTCGTAATTCTAGGCTATGGTCCTGTGCATGTGGATTAAGCAGGTGGCTGGCAGAGCACACGATTTGGGCTGATCCTTCTGAAGACGCTTCAGGAACTCTTCTGTCCCAGAGAACTCTGAAACCATCTTTTAGAGTGATGTGTTTCCAGCAGTCCTGCAAGACTAGGCTCTTCTCACGGCAGGAAACATTGCCTCCTCTAGAGGACTTTTTGTATCTTGGTCTGATTAAGCCAGTTGTTGGTTACCATGTGGAAGGAGCTGCTTCATTTTGAACCA